AGTCTCTGGACACAGAGACGCTGCATTATTGGAGAACTTTACACAAAAAGCCACTAGCTAAAATGGGTTAGCATCAAAGTCCGCCTGCCACTTCTGCTGTGCACAAAAGCAGGGCAGCACTTCATTCTGCTACTCAAATTTAGTGAATGTGCGTCCAGTGCGCATGGAAGTTGCATTCAAGCCGCATTACTTCAAGAACTCACACAATCATCATTGGGGAATCTTCCTCCTGCTCTGAGCGGCTTGTGACGCCAACACCACTTTGCTGTTCTTTGATTGCTTACCACATTCTAGTCCAGCCCAAAAAAATGAGCAATGTTCATGCTGCACCTGTGGAATGTGGTTATATCGGCTACAAAGAATGTCTGTCTATTTCCGTGAACAAGCCAAGTTACTAATAACCTGTATGTTGCAAATGTACTTGGCTCACTTCCAGTCAATGAGAGTTATAGTTTCTCTTCCAGAGGTTGTAAAGTTGCTGTCTTATTGGCTCAAAGTGGCATTGACTTTAAGCCAATCACATGCGGTTTTCAGTTCTTATTTATATTTGGCTGTCTGTACCTCATCACATCCATAATGCTGCACCACTGTAAAGGTAAGAAATAATCAATCAATATAATGATTGGTATTATTAATATTTAATGTATTGCAGTTATTTTTTAAACACTTACCTTGTGAATGCTATATACAAATTAACTTGCCTTGTAGGTTGCTAGTATTATACAATTCTCTCTTGTTCAGGTTTGTTGCAAATGAAAAGCAGAGCTGTAAGAACACTAACTCATTCATAGTGGTTTAGTAAGTACTCGTTAAAATATTTAATGTCATGTTAAGTCAAATCAATGTTATTGAACTTTCACATACAATTGTGTGTGAGCTGATAAAGGGTGGTCGCCTCTTTTCAATTTTCTGTCCAAAAAAGCTGATTTCAAGATCTCAAGCTTAAACAGTGTTTATCCACTTTTTCAGGATCAAGGAGGACCGAGAGCAGAACAGTGCCTTCAGTTGATTCAGAAAAGTAAGTTCTGGGATCATATCATGTAATCATCATTTAAATGTCTTATAATGAGGTACGCTCAAGAGCTATTTTTAGAAGTGCCGGTATTGCTTACCAGCCCCAAATTATGTAAGGGAACCCGCTTATTATACGGCTTTGTACCAACAGAACACACAAAATAAACTTCTGTCCACTAATAGGAATGCCAAAAGGTTTATTTAATGACAGAAAATAAAATAGTTCTCAAAGGCTTTCCTGTGGCTATGCTAGTAACAGTTAGCCTAGTAACAGTTAGGCTAGTAACAGTTAGGCTAGTAACAGTTATGCTAGTAACAGTTAGGCTAGTAACAGTTATGCTAGTAACAGTTAGGCTAGTAACAGTTAGGCTAGTAACAGTTAGGCTAGTAACAGTTAGGCTAGTGACAGTTAGGCTAGTAACAGTTAGGCTAGTAACAGTTAGGCTAGTGACAGTTAGGCTAGTAACAGTTAGGCTAGTAACAGTTATGCTAGTAACAGTTATGCTAGTAACAGTTAGGCTAGTAACAGTTAGGCTAGTAGCAGTTAGGCTAGTAGCAGTTAGGCTAGTAACAGTTATGCTAGTTACAGTTAGGCTAGTAACAGTTAGGCTAGTAACAGTTATGCTAGTAACAGTTAGGCTAGTAACAGTTATGCTAGTAACAGTTAGGCTAGTAACATTCAAACTAGAACTCTCTCGAACTGCATGAAAACTGAGCAAAGAATCCTGAACATCAGCAGTGAGTGACCCAAACATAAACTTAACCTTAATCCATAATATGATCCTCTGCAAAAGTTCCTAAAATGTCCCGGGATCTACTTCTGGGTTTTTTGCGATCGCTTTTTCTCGCAACAAAGCAGTATTATTGTAATGAAAAGGTTAACAGATCATTCTGAAAACCTCCGTGCACGTGTGTTAAGAATGTATATGTATAATGTATTCTCCGGTTAACATTTAATTGTGTTGATTGATTGGTATTTGAGTTTATTGAGCGTGGCTAGCTCTGGAGTGGCCGGAACTACTTGCGGAGTAATCTACACATCTGAATTACAAGCAGAGAGTGCGTTGCCAAAGAGCAGCGGTCATTATTGTTTTGAGAGGTCCGTTATCAAGAAATAATGACCGGTAGAACGTTTTGAAATGACCTTCAAATCAATTCTGATTTGAATGTTCTACTGCTGCTGTGAGGAGCGTGTAATAAATATATGGGCAGGGACTCTAATTAATAAGAGGCTTTGTGATTAATTAATCGCATGTAAATATTTGTCCTGAGAACAGTGAGAAGTCATTTTTTTCACATGGATTTTTAGTTTACCATTGAATAATGACTGAATACATAAGCTTAAACAACACGGACTTCTTTCCCATCAAATGGGCCCAATGCACGCACCACTTCCGCGTTTTAGCTAAAGCCCCACTTCACTTCCTGTTCACGGGAAACGGCTTGAGTTTCACAGGAGTTCAGCAGTGGTTTACACGATTTTTCCAAATAATGCTCAAACGGGAATTAAACTGTGAGAATACTGGGCATTTTTGGGACACAGCTGTGCTCTCTGATTGTGCTGTCATTGTGTTTTTATAAAGTTTACTAATCTCTCTGAGTGGCCACAGTCACAGCTCTACCTCAGAGAGAAAGCCCAGCGACACTTTTGGGTCAGTCTCAGCTGAAAGTATCAATCTAATTACTAAAAAACGTCACTAAAACTCACCTAAATGCCATAGGATAGCATAGACAGGAAGTGAACGGGCTGATCTGCGCTAACAGGAAATGATGTGCATACAGCCCATAACGTTTCTGTCATCGCCTCCACACACACTGACCACAACATACGCTTTGTATAACCAAATTCCACTGCACTTGAAGTGAGCACTAAAGCTTATAATACGTTTGTGGATTCGAACTAAAACATCAACAATAGCAGCTCACACACCTGTGTCGCTGCTGCTCCTCCTCCTCCTTCTGCTCCTCCTCCTCCTTCTCTGAGGAGTCGCTTGCTGCTTTCTTGAATGAAATAGTCACGATTGTTACTTATTTAAATGTATTGTGCAAAGCTGCAATTATACAGAACATTATAAAACTTTAACTTCCAAGCAGCATTGCTGGGTTTCAACCACGTAACCAAAAGGGGGCGGGACATGTTTGGCCGTAGGACAGGAAGTATTTTTCTCCTATTAAATAGAAAGGGCAATGCTGGAAAACGCAGACATAGGAGCTTTTCGCGACTTAGTATCACTCTTATTATGAGTGAAAACTATTTTAATGCAGCGTACACTTTGTAGTCTTTGAGTGAGACCATTTTTTTCAACAATGAGAAGGATTAAGGCTGTTATAGTGACGACAGTGGAGTCACTCTGGGATCAACAGAAACACGTCTGAGATGATAGTTCTGATCAATAACACAATAAATATGGCACAAATGTTACTTTAGACAGCATTTGAAGCGAGAAATACAAAAAAACAATAAAGGGTCACCTTTATTGTCATTTCAGTGATTTGTTGAGCTGTAAATAACCAAAAGTACAGAGCTCCAGGGGGAGCTAACTGCTGTTAGCTTAATGCTACGTTAAGCTAAAAGCAGTGAGTGAGCTAACAGCGGGGGCTGCAATTAGAAAATGAATTAAACAGTTATTTCTGTTGCCTCGGCTACTACAACCGTATACCACACAAAATACTGCATTGTATCTATGAAAGTAAGCAAAGTAAAGACTGCGACTGTCGGCTGTGTCTGTGGCCGCAGATGCTACGCAAGCTAATGCTAGCGCATTTCTCCCGTTCCTTAGAAGGCATTTTCCTAAAAATTGACAGCCGTTAGAGAAATATTTTTTTGAAAAGTAGAGACTCCATAGGTTCTCCACTTGATATGAGCAGTTGCCACAACTGTACACGCCATAGAAAAAGAGCATTTTGACTAGGAATCAGTGAATGTTTACATTGTTCTTAGTGGGGAAATGTACTTTCTGTCCCTCGGAGCACTTTCGTCACGCGTAACCCAGCGATTTGATGACATAATGACCTATCACAATATGCCGGTATAACAAAGATCTCTACCGTTGGCCAAATTTATATCGCTTATACCGTTTATATATATATAGTATATACCTACTTGTTATGATGTACTTTTGAACAAGAGAAGTCATGGAGTTGGCGCTCCAGTATAATCGGTCCGTCTGAAACTCATCCTCCAGTGAGGAAGGTTCCGCGGTGTAAAAAACACATGCAATTAAAATGCGTCAATTTTTTTAAACACACTAATTTTGTGGCGTTAATTAATCGTAATTAACGTGTTAAAGTCCCGGCCCTAATAAATATACTTATTAAGTATATCACTATCTGTTCTTGTTAAGTGACTGCACACGCTTTACCATCTTCTGCCAGATGTCGGCGTATTTCAACTCTTCAACACTTTTGGTTTCATCCTCTCCATGGAGCCATCTTTTATAGCTTTTGAAATAATTATACTTAAAGTTTTACTTTTTCCTATCTTTTATGATAGGGCTTTTTTAACACCCACCGGCACTCCGTTTTGGTTTTCTTCAGAATTCAGCTTGTCAAAGAGCATTGTTTTGGTCTTCAAACCCCACAAGCTACAGATTATTATTATTTATTTATTTTTACAGCCGCGTTTGTATTCATGTAAACCCCAAGCATCTCTTCCCGCCCTGATAAGACGTAGGCCAGTCCCCTATAAAAGGGCCCTGCACCGCAGCGCTTCTAATTTCGAACTCAGCCAAAGAGGACAGGCCTGCTGGGCCCGAAGCTTCGCTTTGCAACATATTCATAGAACCTTAGTCACATTTGGTAACTGGGGTTTCTATTTCATATGTTGCTTCAGCCTTTTAGGCTTCCCTATTGCATAATATAGTGAAGCCCAGACCAATGCACTCCCAGCAGGCATGTACTCCGGTGATTGGAGCAAACCCAGGACCAACGTGCTCATTCCGCAACCAAGCGGCAAAGACGGAGGTCCATGAGCCATCGAAAAGAGTATGCAGGGCCACCTCTCCCAAGAGTGCCTGCGCATCCTCAACCTGCAAGGCAGGAAAAAAGAAGAACCAAACCTGGGCAGGCAGCCTCTTCCAAGAGCGCCTAATCCACAGGAAAGTAAAACCTCACAGCAGAAGGGTCTAGGCCGCCTCTCCAAAGAGCGCCTAAACCCCAGATCAGTAACCGACCTCACAACAGAAGGGTCAAGGCCGCCACTCCCAAGAGTGCTTAAAACCCCAGGTCAAAACCATACTCAAATCGAATGAGCAACAGAGTCAGAGGCGACTACCAAGGTAAAACTGCACAAGGGTCGAAGAGGAGGACCAGCACGCCGCTCTGCAGATCTCCTCCACTGAAATTCCACGGAACAGTGCCACTGAAGGGTAAACCCCGCGAGTGGAGTGAGCCCTCCACTGGGGGGGAGGCAACAAGCCTTGAGCCTTGTACGCCAAACGGTTGGCGAGGCAAGTCAGTGGGCCAAGCGCTGTGGGGACAGAGGGGCACCCTGAATCCTGGTGCCAACCCCACGAACAACTGATCCGACCGCTTGAGGCCAGACGTGCGATCCAAATAGCATTATTTATTTATTTATTGTTTACTTGGTTGGGACAGTACAGTACATGTTAATGAACACATCACTCCGGATTGTAGCCATGGGCTAATTTGCATTCGTTGTCCCACATTCGCACTCACAAACACACACTTATTCACCCTGAACTAGTGAGTCCAAGACAAATTTCCTACGGGACATTATAAATTAATCTTGAATCTTGATCGGGGAGGGACAAGCAAGACGGCTGCAAGGAGAGGGCACAGAGATCACCAGACATCTTGGCCGAAGCCAAGCCAACAGCAATGGTCGCATTGTCCAAGGGTTCAAACGGAGGCCCTGAAAGTCCCAATACGGAGCTGACCGCCATAGGGGTGGCCTGAAGGCAGCTCAAAGGGAGCGCTTCACCAAGAGGCGAAAAGTTTCAGTGAACCTCGTGGGGTAGCCCGCCCTGATTAGTAGTGATTCCCGTGTGAGGGAAACCAAGGCTCAACAGTTTCCCCTCTTTGAGACTCCAAACCATGAGCCTGCGTCCCAGGACAGGGTGTGAGTAAAGGGCTCCTGCCTGTCTCAGAGCATCCTGCGGTACGGATACCATCTGGCTCCCGGACTGTCCAGCGCAACACCAGGATGGAGGACCCCTCCATCCTCACCCTGTAAAGCAGGGCTGCCAGGAGTCGGAGAGGCGGGAAGGCATAGAGGAGATCGTCAGGCCATGGCTGGCGTCCACCCCCAGAGGGGGCCGTCGCTGAACCAGAGTGGGCACTGTGCGTTCTCTGCACTTGCGAACAGGTGGGCCACAGAGGTTCCGAACTGGAGTCAGACCTCTGCTAAAACCTCTGGAGAGAGACCCTACTCGTCTCGCAAGGCCCCGCCCCTGGACCTCAGACGGGCCCTTAAACAAGCTAGGTGAACGTCCGACCACAGAAGGACTTCCACTGCCAACCTGTGAAGGGCGGGGGACCTGCCTGTTCAGGTAAGCCGTCCGAACAATCATGTGTTGGCCCTCAAGTTTGGTCACAAATGAGACAGAACTAGACGCATTGCCTCCAACTCCAGGAGGTTGATGAGGACCAAACGCCTCCTGCAGAGTGGTGGCCGAGCACGTCTCACCAACCGTTCAACGAGGCGTCCCTGAAGACCTTGATGTGGCGGTCCACTAAACCCAAGCCCCGGCGATCCAAGATGGCGCCGTATTCAAATTAATGATTTGTGCTCAGTGGCGCATTGTGACTTGAGAGTGTGCCGCCGGGCACAAGTTGCAGATCCGCAGCCAGACACCGGAGGGTGACAAGATTTCAGGCGCGGAGAATCACTAGATTCTGGAAGCTTCTCTTTAGGCAAGCTGAGAGAGAAAAGAGAAGAGCTGTGGTCTAGGGCCCATTTTACAGGAGACTGGCCTACGCGAGGACTTCAAGGTGATTGGAGAGGTGGATCGTCTGATCTTCTCAGGGCAGGAAGCGGTGCTTCCGAGAGATATGCAATTGCGAAGCCTAAAGGGCTGAAGCAACATATGAAATAGAATTACACTATAATAAAAATATAAACTTTGAAAAACATACAAGAATGTCAATCAGTTTGGCACATATTGTGGTGTTGAGCCAGCTGGCTTTTTCATTACAGTTATTAAGTCAGCACATTGGCAAGAGAGAAAGCTGAGAGCTGTCCTAGAGCTGGTTCCATTTATGGATGTGTAAAAGAGTTCAAAACAAGTATGTTGACTGTTGATTTTTTTGCATCTTCAGCACAAAAATGTACAGAAACTTGTTAAAGAATCCCAATGGAGATGGTAAGGTACATTGTTTGTACCTGCAATCTTGATGGCTGCTTAATAAATTAATCTTTGTCTTCTAGAGGACCTGAAGTTTTGGGAGCTGACAAAAAATGGCGGAAATGGTTGGAAGGTGGAGGACATGCCAGGAGACTGTGGCCATGACTTTGTCAATGACAAAGTAAGCAAATACTTTGCAACGTCTCACACGTAAGTTCTACACATTTTTTCAGGACAGGAAGTGTCTTACTCCTATTAGTAGTTAGACAGGGCGATGCGTGAAAACAGTCTAGGGTGAAAACAGACACATTGGAGCTTGGTATAACTCTTATTTTGAGTGAAAACTATTCACAATTCAACATACGCCTTGTATTGTTTTGTTTGAATAAGTTCAATATTTTGAGGATTAAGGGGCTGTTATAGTGGCGACATTGGAGACAGTGGAGTCTGGGATCCACAGAAGCCATGTCCAAGATGAAAGTTCTGATCAATATTAAAATAAATAGGGCACAAGTATTGCCTCTGCAGCGGTAAGCTAACAGCAGGGGGCAGCAACGAACACAGCCAAACCTTGTGGCACAGAGCTCAGATACTTCCTTAGAAATTACACATAATGGCTAGATGAAACCTAGATTCTAAGTTAGAAGACTTAAATTGTACAACCTCCTTTTAGATATTTATAAGAACACGTTGGTTTGAGATTACCTTTGGCATTTAAACATGTATTTAACAATTCTTTCTCATTGTTGCCTCAGTTACTACAACCGTATACCGCACTAAAATACTGCATTGTTTCTCTGAAACTTCTGCTGACGTCAGCTGCAACCCAGCAATAGTTAAAGGAGCTATACCCGTTTCGGCAAGGTATTTTTCAGTATGAATGTTTAGCACCGCCCTCCAACTCGCTCACAGGCTTCCCATTTCCCCTACGCTCTCCTGCCACAAAGCCAACTAGTTTTATTTGCGATCTGATACATATGCTAACATTAGCATTAGCGCAACTTCTTGTACGCTGTACAACAATCACTGATGAAATGGTACAAAAGCAACGCACTGCTAACAAAATCGGGAATAGCTTCTTTAACACAAGTAAAATACATTACCTAAATAACAACTTCAACAGCACTTAACAGATTCAGGTTCTGACAGGAGTGAATTGTGCCTGTTTGAGTCATGGCACTGTCACATGTGTTTTTTTTTATTGTACCTCATATAATTTTAGTCATTGTGCTGTCCTCTGGTCAAATTGATTAGCCACAGCAATTAAAATATATCCTGAATAATTTTTTTTAGAGCTGAATTTTGATGACTTCTAACAACCTGACCAGCCCTGGGTAATGTATTTAGGGTGTTTTTATTTAACTTTTTAACAAGTGGCGGGTAATTTTGACCCGAGGGTAGCACAAGGTTGTCCTCTATTCATCAATTAGTTTGATGAGAATTGAGTCAATCAGCTTCTTCAGTGTCTGTAATGTGTGTTTAGGCTATGTCTGAAGAGACAAGTCATAAATCTGCTGAAAGAGGGATATTCAGCTGAAGATCTGGATGGGCAGCCCCAAGTCAAAGTTTCTGACTGGTATAGTTTCATACATGTATTAACTCTTCAGAGGATTATGTTTTAAACCGTTATTATTTATTCTGTGCAGGTACTGTGGGCGGAGAGACTGTAGCTCCACCTACCAAATAACTGTGACTTTACTGGATAAAAACCAGGAGTTGATACAGAAGTTTACACCAGAGCCTGTGACTCTGTGCCCAAAGAGAAATGACTGCTCATGGAGAGAGGTAAAGGACATGAAAAATCTCACATAGTCCCATTCTCACTGTTTGCTTGCTCCACAGATCAGCCACAGTTTTACAAAGTATGGACGTGGACTTCGGTTCATCTCCTTTGAACATGGAGGCAAAGACTGCCAATTCTGGGCCGGCTGGTATGGAGTAAGAGTCACTTCCAGCTCCGTTACTATTGAATTGTGAGTAAACTAATCCAAATACTTTCGTCCAATCCCTCCTGGCTGACTCCGACTCTTCTGGGAACACTGGAACACTTACGCGTAAACAAACGGGCTGCTTTCAAAAGGGTACTTACACCGAAGCCAGGGTCCTTGCCCTGCCCCTGCGTGTAGATCATGACACTTGCGGTCCCAGCTTGCCCGAGGTTCCCGGTGCATAGTCCTTCTTGCTATTTGAAGCGTGGGCTCCGTGGTCTTGTGCGTGCATTCATCTCCTGTCTCTCGTCCAAGGCCTGAGCCACCGGACCACGGGGCTAATGGTGCGTTCCCAAACAGGAACACACCAGACTCTACCCCTTTTCTCAAGTGAGTCCAGTCTGAACATGGATCTATTATAATAACTGGATAGGGTATTACTAGCCTGGAGCTGAAGAACCCATGTGCTCGGGGGATTCTCTCGGTACTGCAGACTAAACAAGACTGAATTCTGGTGGGCTACACAGACATTTTCCCCATAGAACTCAATGTAAACTAAAACAGCTCGACTTCAGCTGAAAGAACATCTATAGTTTTCATACATAGTTTTCATACATAGTTTTCATACATAGTTTTCATACATAGTTTTCATACATAGTTTTCATACATAGTTTTCGGATTCTGTGGGTATTTTAGTGTCCCTTGTCAGAAACGCAAAGCGGAAAATCAGGAGCTAGATTTGTTATGGGATTATTCAAAGATGCTGTTTCTCTTTATATTACGTTTGTGAACGTTATTGCATTGCCGAATTAATAATATTTTATTAGAATAACGATTGTAAATCTGTTTTTTACATTCCTAAAAGTGCCTAACCAATTATAAACCTCACCGCACGTCAGTGAATTGAATTGTCACTTGTGTTGAATTGTTTTTTTTCGTTTTGCTGAATAACCAAAAATAATCAGAATCAGAATCAGAATCAGAATCATTTTTATTGCCAACGTAAGTAACGGGAGGTCACAGACTTGGAAATTGCTTTGGCTCAGTGCAACAGTCAAAAAGAGATAATAAAAATAAGAATAAAAAACACTTCTAAAGAATAAATTTAAATTTAAAATAGAGTTACAGTTACTATTTACAATATACAAGTGCACATGGTGCACACAATGTAAGGTGACAGCAGTACAGTGAAGTAAAGTGACGTATGATGGGCAGTAAAGTGACTTTATAAAGGGCGGGGGGACAGGTTAAGAAGTGTTCAAGAGTCCAACAGCAGAGGGGAAGAAACTGTTCTTGTGGCGGGAGGTTCTAGTCCTGATGGACCGCAGCCTCCTGCCTGAGGGGAGTGGTTGGAATAGTCCATGTGCAGGGTGAGAGGGGTCGGCTGTGATACGACCAGCCCGGCCTCGAGCTCGGGCGACGTACAGGTCCTGCAGCGATGGAAGGCTGCGGCCGATCACTTCCTCTGCAGAGCGCACAATGCGCTGTAGACTCTGTTTGTCCCTGACTGTGGCTCCAGCGAACCACACGGTGATGGAGGAGGTGAGGATGGACTCGATGATGGCCGTGTAGAACTGCACCAACATCTGTGCAGGCAGCTTGGCTTTCCTGAGCTGCCGCAGGAAGTACATCCTCTGCTGGGCCTTCTTGATGAGGGAGCTGATGGTCGGCTCCCACTTGAGGTCCTGGGTGATGGTGGTGCCCAGGAAACGGAAGGACTCCACAGAGGTGATGGGGGAGTCCATCACGGAGGGTGGGGGCGGGGGGACAGTGCTCTTCCTGAAGTCCACAATCATCTCCACTGTCTTCTGGGCGTTCAGCTCCAGGTTGTTACCACTGCACCAGGACACCAGCCGGTCCACCTCCCTCCTGTAGGCGGACTCATCGTTGTTGGAGATGAGTCCAATGAGGGTGGTGTCGTCCGCGAACTTGATCAGCTTCACGGAGTCGTGGCTGGAGGTGCAGTGGTTGGTGTACAGGGAGAAGAGCAGGGGAGAAAGAACACAGCCCTGTGGGGCTCCTGTATTTATAATCCGAGAGTCCGAGACATTCTTCCCCAGACGCACTCGCTGCTTCCTGTCCGTCAGGAAGTCAGTGATCCACCTGCAGGTGGAATCGGGCACGTTGAGCTGGGAGAGCTTGTCCTGGAGCAGGGATGGCAGGATTGTGTTGAAGGCAGAGCTGAAGTCCACGAACAGGACCCTGGCGTAGGTCCCCGGGGAGTCCAGGTGCTGTAGGATGTGGTGGAGGGCCAATGTGGTGTTGTCGCTTCAGGCCTTTTCAAATAAGTGACTGAGGCATTGGAAATAGAATAGCTGATTCCACATATTGATCTGTATGGTTACAAGGTTAAAAACAAGTAAATTACATTATTTATTTATTTATTTACTCATTTGAGAAGATAAACCCCTTGAGATGCATCATCTCGTTTTCAAGAGGGTCCTCAAAAGAATTACAAGAAGCAAAAACACAAGACTGAAAACAGCAGTACAGGCTCAGAACCAAAAAATAATAATAAAATAAAATTGAAATTGAAAATACAGGATGAAACAAAAAAACAAACAAGTGACAACAGACACTCACACAGAGACACACACAGAGACACACACAGACACTCACACAGACACACAGACACTCACACAGAGACACACACAGAGACACATAGAGACACACACAGACACTCACACAGAGACACACACAGACACTCACACAGACACACAGACACTCACACAGACACACAGACACTCACACAGACACTCACACAGACACCCACACACAGACACTCACACAGACACTCAGACACTTACACAGACACTCACACAGACACTCACACAGACACTCACACAGACACTCACACAGACACTCACACACAGACACTCAGACACTTACACACAGACACTCACACAGACACTCAGACACTTACACACAGACACTCACACAGACACTCAGACACTCACACAGACACTTACACAGACACTCACACAGACACCCACACACAGACACTCACACACAGACACACAGACACTCACACAGACACTCACACAGACACCCACACACAGACACTCACACACAGACACACAGACACTCACACAGACACTCACACAGACACCCACACACAGACACTCACACAGACACTCAGACACTTACACACAGACACTCACACAGACACTCACACAGACACTCACACAGACACACAGACACTCACACACAGACACTCAGACACTTACACACAGACACTCACACAGACACTCACACAGACACACAGACACTCACACACAGACACACAGACACTCACACACAGACACTCAGACACTTACACACAGACACTCACACAGACACTCAGACACTCACACAGACACTTACACAGACACTCACACAGACACCCACACACAGACACTCACACAGACACACAGACACTCACACAGACACTCAGACACTTACACACAGACACTCACACAGACACTCAGACACTTACACACACACCCACACACAGACACTCACACAGACACCCACACACAGACACACAGACACTCACACAGACACCCACACACAGACACTCACACACAGACACACAGACACTCAAGACACTTACACACAGACACTCACACAGACACTGAGACACTTACACAGACACTCACACAGACACTCACACACAGACACTCACACAGACACTCACACAGACACTCACACACAGACACACAGACACTCACACAGACACTCACACAGACACTCAGACACTTACACACAGACACTCACACAGACACACAGACACTCACACAGACACTCACACAGACACTCACACAGACACCCACACACAGACACTCACACAGACACACAGACACACAGACACTCACACAGACACCCACACACAGACACACAGACACTCACACACAGACACACAGACACCCACACACAGACACTCACACAGACACACAGACACTCACACACAGCTCTACAGTTAACAAAAACAGTTAGAGTAGGACATTGTGGAACACACATTTCAAAAACAATTACAAGGCGTCTGTAGATAAGACAAAAGGGCATTTTGATACATATTGTAGGAGGTTATAGAGCGGATAGAGGCAGGGAGATTATTCCAGTCAAGAGGTACTTTATGGTGAAATTAAAATGTACCTATTTCTTTTCGAATTCTAGGAACAACTGTTGTGGAAATACACATACCGAGAGTAAAATAATGTAAACAACTCAGAGCTGTAATTCCAAACAAAGTGTGAGTTTATTCATTAGTAAATATGCACAATTACAATGAATAACAGAACCGATACCAATACCACCTGCAGCCGTCTGAAGTCGACTGCCCCGATTGAGGAAATAACTGTACATTAAATAGACCAGAGTAAACAAACACATATCTACTCTAGATATTACAGAGATGAAGTAAACATTGATATGTGTTGCTCAAGGCTTCTCTTTACACGTCCTAACGCTGATACAACTCTGATATATGTAACAATCTGCTTTTGACCTGAACATATTGTTCTATGACCCAGGTCAAAGACATGATGCAGCACGTCTCCATCTATCACTGACCTGAGCCAACAGAGCATTATGGCCTGTATCTGAATCCAGAGTTCACTATTAGTTAATAACTTACACTCATAACTATTTGGTGTTAATTCAGATTGCTTTACTAAAATATTTCTATAACACAACAAAAAAGAATTGTTTTGCATGTCTTAAGTTGTAAGAAGAACTAAATTGTGTAAAATATTGTTTCAGATAATCAGGATAACTGAGATTAATACATTTAAAAATAAATAATAGCCAGTGACTACATGTGATTGTAGATTTGAAGAGACATAAGTGGCCACTCCACCCCCCCTTGCGTCTCAGCAAAAGGGTCCTGGGTTCAAATCCCGGTCGTACCAGGGCCTTTCTGAGTGGAGTTTGCACGTTCTCCTCGTGTCTGCGTGTGTTTTCTCCGGGTGCTCCGGTTTCTCCTACCACTAAAACATGTACAATAGTACTGGCATGCGCCTCCTGTACTGGCCCCGCTCCCATCTCTGTGTGGAGTGAGAGACAAATGCCCAGAAAATAACAATTGTAAACCTGCTTTGTCTGGTCTTCAGTGAAAGGTGGTATATAAATAAAGATTACTTACTTGCTTACTTTGCCTGAAGCCCCCTCTGAAAGATCTCAGCTCCTGTGAACTCAGCACCTGCAGGAGGATCAGTGAGGGAATGGTGCTCTGTGACTGGGTGCAGCTCTGACTGCCGCCCCCGACCCAGAAATGGATTATAAGTTAATGCAGTCACTAAATAAGGTTGGAATAGTGACAGAAGAGTATAATAGGGTAATAAGGATGTAATAGGGGTGTAATACTGTAATACCAGTGTAATGGGGTGTAATAGTGTAAATGGGAATAGGGGTGTATTAGTGTAATAGGGTTCCTTGATACTATTCTGATCATCATAAAGGTGTGACTCATCACATTATTGTATTTCAAAAAACATTTCAGAGCTGGATATGACAATGACTGGAAATACAACCTGGACTTACCATCTATGGGAGTCTGCATCATCATCAACAACAAGACCTTTAAAGGTTAGAATTACAAGTGATACTCTACAGTTCAAAAGTTATTTTGTTTCGGTAGTCCAACAAAAGTGTGAAACCAATGCATGATATTGATTACATAAAAAGTGACATACACCAAAGCTTTGTTTGTTATGATGTTGATTATTATGGTTTACAGTACATTTCGGATCTTACAGCTGTGAGTCAATAATCGACATTATAACAAGTAAAGGCTTGATATATGTAACTTTGCATGTAATGACCGTCGTAGATACATTTCACGTTGTAAGTTGAATTACAGTAGTAAATGGAAAAATATTCAAATGTATACCTGTACATGAATATCTTAATAACAACAATACATCAGCTTTGTTCCAAGAAACTTTCCATTGTCATTCACCCCATACACAGTTTGGTTCTCCATTAGCTCAAACAGGCAGAAGCAAGGATGCCAATCTGCACCATGTCCCCCTCACACACCAGACTCATATTAGGCATTGTGGGTGAAGTGTCTTCACAGCAGCTGTAGAGCTGTCCTGCTAAAGCAGGCCACAGTCTTCAGGTTTTTATCCGGATATCAGTGCTCCCTGAATTCACGGAGGGGTGGCTCAATTAACCATTCTCGAATGCAATGTTTTGTCATAACAGTTTAAGGATACAAGGATGTAACAGGAGACTTTTTTCTGGGTAGCCCACGTGAATTTAGTCTGCAGTACCACAGCGCCCCCTGTGGCCATAAGCTTGTAGTACCCTATCCAGTTATTGTTATAGATCCATGCACATCACGCACTCATAGAGACAGACACACACACAGACGGACACATGCACATACACGTACGTGCACAGAGACGTACCACACAGAGACAGACGAGTATAGCCGCGGATCAAGTAAACTGTGTCAAAGCAATGTCCTGAACGACATCATGGATCTATAATAACAACATGGATCCATGTCTCGGAACCTCAGTGAACGCCACACGCTGCGGCCGCTTCAGGAGCAAACAGCACCGCACACAGCACCAACACACGCTTTAAAAACTCTGAATGACTCGCACACGCTTCAAAGCTTCCTCATGTTCAACATAAACTTGCGTCCAGTTGTTGTTGTTGTTTCATGTTTTTTTCTTTCATTGTGGTGCGGCTTTGCCTGACTGCTGTCCTACCAACAACATCGTAATTCATCATGGGATCACCCTCGCTAGGGTGGTTTTTAAGGGTCTTTTTCCTTTTGACTCCACTGGCCCCGTCTCCGTTTACGCGCGTAGGCTGCTACCCGTCAGACATGCGTAAAACGGAATAGTGGCCACACCGGCTACACCGCTTTTTAAGGGCAAGAGTGAGAATTGGGACAGGGCTAAAATGTTGTCTGGAGCTTAAATTGATAACTTCACAAATTATGCTGTAGCACTTCCACTGCTGCTCACTGCCATCATCTGCTGGCAACTGTGTTCTTACACAGGACAGGAACATATCAATATGCTTAACGTTTATACATAGCGTGATTTTAGATATGTACATTAATATGCTTGAAACACATATTTGTATTTGTATTTGGATAGGACATGTGTATGTATGAACACACACCAGATTATGGCTATGGAGCTGATTTGCATCTGTAGTCACAGTCACACACCCTCGTCCAACCGTTTACCTATTGTTGCACAAGTCTCTTTGGAACAAACCTGATAACATTTAAACAACTGTATAAAAAACCTGTGTGTGTCTGTATTGAAATGTTCCTGAAACGTCTTCAAAAGACAACCATTTAAGCAATTTTTCTAGTGCCTAGAGCGGGATCCGATAAGGATGCAGCAGCAGCAAAGAAGACGTTTACTGATCTGGGATATAAAGTCACTGTGTACAACGACCTCACCGAGAAGCAGATGAAGACGGTGATGAAGGATGGTAACATTACAGACTCGTAAAAAACTATACATTTTACAAATAAATATGTTGTTAGTGTCTGTAACCACAGCTGCGAGTCAACCCTCTGCTGCAGTGTGCGAAATACCTGTCAATATTCATGGGGTCCCTAATTTTATTTTTTTCACGCACGTGCATGCACACGCTTCACTGCACAGAAGGTAAAAACAGTAGTGATGGGTTTCATTGGCTCAGTGAGCTTCTCTGCTTTGTAGTATATGATGCATCAATATTTCTAACCAGTGTTAGAGTCTGGCAATGAAAGCCTCAGTGTGATGGGCTTCATTTATATCTTGACTTAAAATAGACCAAATATGCCTCGGCTGCACTTCTTTCCCGGTTTAAACTTAAACTTAATGGGTGGAGTGAATAGCACTCTCGCTTCTAGGCAAGGCAAGGCAAGTTTATTTGTATAGCACAATTCATACACAAGGCAACTCAAAGTGCTGAACAAGATAGCATTAAAATCATAAATAATCACAGAACATTAAAAAGAAAGATAAAAATATAAAATCCCTCAGTTGTATTTGCAGCTAAACAGCACCGTTTTTAACTTGGTTTTAAACATTGTCAGAGAGGAGGCCTGTCTTCTAAGCAAAAAGGTCCTTGATTCAAATCTGTACAGGGACAGAGCCTTTCTGAGTGGAATTTGCATGTTCTCCCCGTGTCTGCGTAGGTTTCCTCCAGGTACTCTGGTTTCCCCCTATCACTAACTAAACATCGTCTGGCATGTGCCTCCTGTACCGGCCCCGCTCCCGTCTCTGTGTGGAGTGAGAGACTAATGCCCACAATTGCAAACCGCTTTGTGACTCTGGTCTGTGAAAGGCGGTATATAACAAAAATAAACTTATTGTAGAAGAGTACTCGCACTCCATACAATCTGCTCTTCGTGCTGTTCAGGAAATAAGTAGGATTTTAAGAAGTTATTATTTACTGTGAATAAACTAGTCACATTTCAACAACATAATCTCTTTAATACATGTTGTCAGCCGCTGGTTCAAAACTACAGGTTATCTGGACATCAGCACAAACAGACAAGTTACAGACTACAGTCTAGTCTGGGTCTCTGCTGGATGGAAAGCAGAAGAGTGACCAAGAATGGACCAAAGAGCTCTCGTCTTATACCATGATCATTTGAAACACATGCAACAATATGTCCCACCATCCTTAGGTGAAGACAATACCTCCTATGTTCAGAACAAACAAATAGCCCCTGTGTAAGTAAGCCTGAGGCTACTCTAAACAGATGTTCTCTGCGCTCTTCTTAATTTAACTTCCTGTGTTTAATGGCTGGGGGATGGGAGAATGCTGCTGATGCGTCCATCACATCCCATCACACACGTAGGTTAACTCAAAGCTGTCTAAAGTTTGAATATATTCTAATTCACTTTAATGAAAATCCAACAACTCTACTAACATTTACATATATTAGCATTATCTGAAACGCACTTGGATGGAAACATTGATAGTCCCCTCGTTCATTTGTATAATTCTTATAGGCATGACAGCAACACACACGGGAGCAGAGTGGGATGTTATGTGCAAGATCAAATCCATTGAAGATCTTACACAAATCAGCGCCGTCTCTAGTCAGCTGCAGCCTCTCTCCGAATCCAGCGTGTGGTCCATAGACAGTAAATAAGAGAAGGAAATTAAGCCTGTGCCAACATTTTGGAAAGTGTGTGGACCTTTTCAGACAAAGCCAATTTTCAAAATTATCTCAGTGAATATTTCTTGAACAAAGTTATTAACAACATAATTCCCAACAAAAAGTAAAACTCATGAAATTAAAGCCTTTCGGTTATCAAAATCGAACTCGAAAGTTACTGAAACTGGTGCACTGGTGCAGAAGAATAGAAATTAATTGAGGATTGGATGAATAAAAATACATTGGTTATGAATCCTGAAAAGACCAAATGTTTGGTGTTCATCACTTAAGAAATTCCCCTGTTTTAAATGTGACCATAGAAGGCAGATCTATTGAACAAGAATCTAAAATGGGCAGGGGTCTGGCTGCAGTGAAGCAGAGCAGAAACTGTTTACCAATCCAAATTTGCAGATTATTAGTAGATTCAATTGTTTTATCACATCTAGATTACTGTTCAATACTTTGGTCAAACACAACAGTGGCACATTTAAACAAACTTCAAATAGCACAAAATAAAGCGGCTCGGCTCGTCCTTAACTGTTCTTTCAGAACCAGCATAAGTCAGATGCATCAGCAGCTGTCCTGTATGTTAGAGGGAGGATCAAATGTTCTCTAATTAATATGATCAGAAACATGATAATAACAAAAATACCACAGATACTCTTTACTAAATTGACCTTTTTCAGTGATGTGCACCAGTATTCCACTCGACAGGCCAGGGACAGACGTTTCCTTTTACCTGCATGCCGCACCAATCAGATCAGGTGGCTCACTACACCAGTTTTTCGTAGTTGGGATGAATACACTTGATTTTCATAAAAGATTGAGAGTTTTCCTTTTCACATAAGATTGGAATTGTTTTGTTTGTATTTTTGAGTTGACTTTTTTGCGCATCTTGTTGTCAGTATGGAAAAGCCTCACTTGGGAGAATATGTGCGACTTCTGTTGTAGCGTGGTGTGTGCTAGTTTTTTTCTAATGTCAGTTTTTTTAGACTTGACAAACACAAATGAGCTTGTGACGCAGATTTGTAGTCTTTGTTCTGTTCAGCGCATGGCTATTTATGCATACGTTCAAGTGCTGCTTTTAAATAATAAAAAGTATAAGTAAATATATCATAATTATAATAATATGTACAATATTTTAAGGCAAGTTTATTTATATAGCACAATTCATACACAAGGCAACTCAAAGTGCTGAACAAAACAAGAAAGCATTAAAATCATAAATAATCACAGAACATTAAAAAGAAAGATAAAAATATAAAATCCCTCAGTTGTAGCACAGCTAAACAGAACTGTCTTTAACCTGGTTTTAAACATTGTCATTGAGGAGGCCTGTCTCACATCTTCAGGAAGATTGTTCCAGATTTTAGCAGCATGAATCTGAAAAGCAGCCTCCCCATGTTTAGTTCTGACTCTGGGCACTAACAGGAGTCCAGTCCCTGTGCTCCTCAGAGTCCCAGCAGGAGTCCAGTCCCTGTGCTCCTCAGAGTCCCAGCAGGAGTCCAGTCCCTGTGCTCCTCAGAGTCCGGGCTGGTTCATATGGGACTAACATGTCACTAATATATTTTGGTGCGAGGCCATGGAGAGACTTGTAACAAGCAGAGCTGTTTTAAAGTCTATTCTCTGAGCCACAGGAAGCCAGTGCAGGGACCTGAGGACTGGACTAATATGGTCGTACTTCCTGGTTCTAGTCAGGACTCGAGCTGCTGCATTTTGAATGTACTGCAGCTGTTTTACAGCCTGTTTGGACAGACCTGTGAGCAGGCCATTGCAGTAGTCTAACCTACTGGAGACAAATGCATGGATAAGAATCTCCAAGTCTGCTTTAGATACTATGTTTTTGATCCTGGCAATGTTTTTTAGATGGTAAAAAGCTGCTGATGTTACTGATTTGATGTGGCTATTAAAATTTAAGTCTGAGTCCAGTATTACCCCTAGATTTCTGACCTTGTTTGAAGGTTTTAGGGAGAGAGACTGTAGATGACAGATGACGCTCTCTCTTTGTTTCTGGGGACCAAAGACAATCATTTCAGTTTTGTCTGCGTTTAGCTGAAGGAAGTTGTTTTGCATCCACTCACTGATCTGTTGGATACAGTGAAGGAGTGAGTCCACTGGTCCATGTTCTCCTGCAGTCAGTGAGACATAGATCTGAGTGTCGTCTGCATAGTTGTGATAGGACACTTTGTTTCTGCGTATTAACTGACCTAACGGCAGCATGTAGAGATTGAACAGAAGAGGTCCCAGGATCGACCCCTGTGGTACTCCACAGGTCAGGGCCATATGATCTGAGACACAGTTTCCAATCTCCACAAAGTACTTCCTGTCTTCAAGGTAAGACCTAAACCAACTTAGAGCGATACCAGCGACGCCAACCCAGTCCTCTAGTCTCTGTAAGAGGATCTCATGGTCGACGGTGTCAAAGGCTGCACTTAGATCTAACAAGATTAAGGCCCTGTTTATACTGAGACGCTGCGCAGACGTTTCCAGGCTATTAACAGAAACGACCAGGCTCCTAATGCAAATTTCTCAGCGTTCACATGAGGTTGAAAAACGATGTAGTTCTAGCGCCCGGCCAGTAGTGGGCAGAGAAACTTTACAACACGACACACGACCCCCAGCCCCCCCTCCCGGCAGTATATTCACTTCCTGTGCCAGACCCTCAGAAAGTACCAACATCATTCTGCATTTTAACAACAGCTGTGAACATGGAAACTGAACCTAGAGCTTCGCGTGGTCTCGTTTGGACGAACGAAGGTGTAGAATTATCCTCTGTGCCGCGCTGGAAGCCAACGTAGCTAGTTAGTGCGTGCGGCGGCATTTTTGTTTTTGTTTGTTCTCCGCTACTGCGCATGTCCAAATTTACGTGCGGGGAGCAGCGCGGAGGTCAGAGCAGAGGGGGATTTCACACCTTTTCCCTCTCGCGGGTGTGAAAGAGCCCCTGCTGTGCAGCGTATCTGAGTTGTCCCACTCTGCAGGCTGGATCTGAACACTTACGTTTTCACCCCCCTGAAACACAGTCTCCGTATGAACGGTTGGTAGCAATCGACATCCAACTATACCGTTTTACTGCCACATTGTCTCCGTGTAAACTCAGCCTCAGATTGAGACTTTGCCTGCGTCAGTGTTCAGCCGGATATCGTTTGTCACCTTGACGAGAGCAGTCTCAGTGCTGTGGTGGGGTCTAAAGCCGGACTGAAACATATCAAATGAGTTGTTGATTATAAGAAATCTAGTAAGCTGTAGGTAGACACCTTTCTCAAGGAGTTTCCCCATAAATGGCAGATTTGAGATGGGACGATAGTTGTTAAGTACAGTGGCATCCAGACTGCTCTTTTTTAGCAGGGGCCTGATGACTGCAGTTTTCAGGGCCTTTGGGAATATTCCAGAATGAAGGGACATGTTTACTATCTGTGTGAGTGAAGGTAACAGACTGCTCAGAACAGACTTCAGAAATCTAGTGGGTAGTACATTCAAGCTGCATGTGGAGGAGCTCAAACTAGAGATTATCTCTTGGACAGTTTGATCATTTACAGGTGCAAAGTGAGTTAGCTCAGAGAGCCTTTCTGGCTGTTGGATTGTTATCTGTGGATTGGAGACAATGGCGTTTTTGATGCCTTGAACCTTGTCATTGAAAAAGTGTGCAAACTCATTGCATTTACGTTTGGAAGTAAGCTCTAATGGCATCTGAACAGGGGGGTTTGTTAATCTATTAACTGTTGACAACAGAACACACAGGTTGTTACTGCAGCCTTCAATCATTTCAGAAAAATACCTTTCTCTTGTACTACGCAGCACCCGGTTAAACTCACACAACTTATCATAAAAAACACTTCTAAAGAATAAATTGAAATTTAAAATAGAGTTACAGTTACTATTTACAATATACAAGTGCACACAACAGGTGCACACAATGTAAGGTGACAGCAGTACAGTGAAGTAAAGTGACGTATGATGGGCGGTAAAGTGACTTTATAAAGGGCGGGGGGACAGGTTAAGAATTGTTCAAGAGTCCAACAGCAGAGGGGAAGAAACTGTTCTTGTGGCGGGAGGTTCTAGTCCTGATGGACCGCAGTCTCCTGCCTGAGGGCAGTGGTTGGAATAGTCCATGTGCAGGGTGAGAGGGGTCGGCTGTGATACGACCAGCCCGGCCTCGAGCTCGGGCGACGTATAGGTCCTGCAGCGATGGAAGGCTGCGGCCGATCACTTCCTCTGCAGAGCGCACAATGCGCTGTAGTCTCTGTTTGTCCCTGACTGTGGCTCCAGAGAACCACACGGTGATGGAGGAGGTGATGGAGGAGGTGATGGAGGAGGTTATGGAGAAGGTGATGGAGGAGGTGATGGAGGAGGTGATGGAGGAGGTGAGGATGGACTCGATGATGGCCGTGTAGAACTGCACCAACATCTGTGCAGGCAACTTGGCTTTCCTGAGCTGCCGCAGGAAGTACATCCTCTGCTGCGCCTTCTTGATGAGGGAGCTGATGGTCGGCTCCCACTTGAGGTCCTGGGTGATGGTGGTGCCCAGGAAACGGAAGGACTCCACAGAGGTGATGGGGGAGTCCATCACGGAAGGTGGGGGCGGGGGGACAGTGCTCTTCCTGAAGTTCACAATCATCTCCACTGTCTTCTGGGCGTTCAGCTCCAGGTTGTTACCACTGCACCAGGACACCAGCCGGTCCACCTCCCTCCTGTAGGCGGACTCATCGTTGTTGGAGATGAGTCCAATGAGGGTGGTGTCGTCCGCGAACTTGATCAGCTTCACGGAGTCGTGGCTGGAGGTGCAGTGGTTGGTGTACAGGGAGAAGAGCAGGGGAGAAAGAACACAGCCCTGTGGGGCTCCTGTATTTATAATCCGAGAGTCCGAGACATTCTTACCCAGACGCACTCGCTGCTTCCTGTCCGTCAGGAAGTCAGTGATCCACCTGCAGGTGGAATCGGGCACGTTGAGCTGGGAGAGCTTGTCCTGGAGCAGGGATGGCAGGATTGTGTTGAAGGCAGAGCTGAAGTCCACGAACAGGACCCTGGCGTAGGTCCCCGGGGAGTCCAGGTGCTGTAGGATGTGGTGGAGGGCCAGGTTAATGGCGTCGTCTACAGATCTGTTGGCTCTGTAGGCGAACTGCAGGGGGTCCAGGAGGGGGGAGGTGAAGGACTTGAGATGGGAGAGAACCAGGCGTTCAAATGACTTCATGACGACAGACGTAAGTGCTACAGGTCTGTAGTCGTTGAGTCCTGTGATCCTGGGCTTCTTCGGGACGGGGACAATGATGGAGGATTTGAAGCAGGCCGGGACATGGCAGGACTGCAGAGAGGTGTTGAAAATGTCAGTGAACACAGGAGTAAGCTCACTGGCGCAGTATCTCAGAGTGGCCGGAGACACGTGGTCCGGGCCAGGAGCTTTGCGGGGGTGCAGCCTCAAGAAAAGTTGTTTAACATCTTTAGAGGCTATTGTCAGGCTGGGGGCAGGGCTGATGGGTGGGTCGTTAGAGTAGTGGGGGGTGGGGGAGGGAGAGGTGTCAGGGGCAGCATCAAAGCGACTGAAAAATAAGTTCAGTTTGTCAGCTAGCTTGTGGTCGTCAGCACAGGGGGGGGCTTTGGGTTTGTAGTTGGTGATCTCCCGTAGGCCCCTCCAGACAGAAGCAGTATCGTTGTTACCAAACTGCTCCTGTAGTCGTTCTCTGTGCCGGGACTTGGCTGCTTTCAGTTCTTTCCTGAACTGATATTTAGCTGCTTTGTAGCCGCTGCGGTCCCCCTCCCTGAAAGCAGACTCCTTTGCTTTCCTGAGTTGCCGGAGTTTAGCAGTGAACCAGGGTTTGTCGTTGTTATAGATGACCCTGGTCCTTGTTGGAATGATGCTATCCTCACAGAAGTGAATGTATGACGTCACAGTGTCCGTATATTCATCCAAGCTGTCTGTGGCAGCTCTGAAAAGGTCCCAGTCTGTAGATTCCATGCATGCGCGCAGCTCTTCCACAGCTTCATCAGACCACACTTTGGAGCTCCTCACTGCAGGTTTCGAGAGCTTTAGTCTCTGTCTGTAAGCAGGAACCAGATGTATCATGGAGTGATCTGAGAAGCCGAGGGCTGGCTTGGGAACAGCGCGAAAAGCTCCGCGCACGGTGGTGTAACAGTGATCCAGAGTGTTCTCCTCTCTGGTCGGGCATTTGATAAATTGTCTGTATTTGGGTAATTCCTGGCTCAAGTTTCCCTTATTAAAATCCCCCGGGATAATAATCAGAGAGTCCGGGTATAAACGTTCCATACACAGTACTTGCTCTGCGAGTGCGCGCTGAGCCTCGCGCGCGTCCGCGCATGGCGGTATGTAAACAGAGGCAAGAATGAATGAAACAATTTCACAAGGGGAGTAAAATGGTCTACAATGAATTAAAGATATTCCAGAGCAGGAGAGCAGTGCTTGGAGATCACTGTCACATCGTTACACCAGTTTGTATTGACGTAGAAACACAGCCCACCGCCTCTGCTCTTCCCTGAGAGCGCACAATGGCGATCCGCGCGGAACAGCCCAAAGCCCTGCAGCTCCAGAGCGCAGTCCGGGATCCGCTCATTTAGCCAGGTCTCAGTGAAGCAGAGGACACATGATGTGGCGAAGTCCTTGTTTCTTCTCATGAGCAGGCTGAGTTCGCCCATCTTATTGCCCAGTGAGCGTACGTTGGAGAGAAAAATGCCGGGGAGAGCCGTGTGCGCTCCTCTCCTCCTAAGACGCACGAGCAAGCCTCGGCGCTTTCCCCTTTTACGGGCCCACACTTTTTTGGCTAGAACATGGACTAAATCAGCCGCAGATGCCAAGAAAACAGGCAATAGGTCCATGGGGACGGTGGGTCGGATGTTCATAAGTTCCTCACGGGTGTAGGAACAGCCAGATGCACAGTTAAAAAGTAAAAACAAAAGAAAAAGAGAGCAGCAAAGAGCTATGTCGACCGTACGAGGCGCCATCTTTAGGGGTATCCTTGAATATCTTGTAATCAACCTGGAGGTTGGACTTGCGCCACTTCCGCTCGGCCCTCCGGCACTTTCTCTTTTGTGTCCTGACCGAGTCTGCTTTAGCCCACGGCACCTTCTGCTTATTTTTCACTATTTTAACCTTCACAGGAGCAACGGTATCCAGAACATTCAAAACGCTAGAGGTGACAGAGTTAAACAGTTCATCTACAGTAGAACACGATGCATTCTCAAAGTTTATCATTCCCATAAATAGATCGTAGACTCGTATTTTCATTTAAAATTATTGATTAAAAAATACAAAGAGGTCTGACATTAAGGATAGCAAGTTTCAAAGTTTCAGGATCAGCAGTTGTGGTCGGCTGATTCTTACATGGAACAAGAATTAGATTTTCCAGATTAGACTGATTAGCTCCAGATGTCTTTCTGTAATGTATTCTTTGTGTTATCACTAAGGGAATGGCACAGGTGGCTTCATGACAGGGCCCCAGCCGGGTCTCTCCTCTAACTAGACTGCCAGTGGCTGCGAAGCAGAGACCCTGTGCAGCCTAGTGTTTAGAGAAAAGAGGGGAAGGGGAAGGCGGGGGAGGAGGATGGAGAGGTGGGTGGCTTTTCAGTTCAGTTTATTTTTTGCCATTTGCAGTAAAAAACCACATTGGAATACATTAGCAAAAAGTCTCCAGTGTGCACAGACAAATACAGACATAAAACAACATTAAAAGACAGAAATAAAACAAATAAAACAGTAAACAAATGTCACTGTGAAATTGATCGACTAAAACAGTTTCAAAACAAGTGCAAATCATTATAGTGCTCTGTTCACACTGATAACAGCTTGTGGATAAAAACTGTTAGCGTAACGAGATGTCCTGCATCTCAGAGAGCGATATCTTCTGCCAGAGGGAAGAAGCTGGAACATGGCTTTCCCAGGGTGGCCAGAAGAGTCATTAACAATCCTAAGAGCTTTGTTTAAAAGTCTGGATTTATAAAGAACCTCCAGAACAGGAAGCTCACAGCCCACGGTCCTCTTTGCAGAGCGGAGCACCTTGTTTAAAGCTCTCTTTTCTTTATCTGTGATGTTTCCAAACCACACAGACATTTGTGGGTGTTGAACGAGGGGGGCAGGGAGGTGGAGGGATTTTTGGTGATGGGTTAGGGGCAGGGTGGGCTGAGGAACGAGGGGGAAGTGGGGGTGGAATGGTCATGAGGTTAGGGGAGGGACTGGCTGAGGTGGTTTTTGTAGGTGAATTGGAAACCCTAGGTGGTTTTGGAGGTACATATGGGGAGTGGTTTAGAATGTTGGACAGGACTCTAGATCTAGGTAATATGGGTGTGAGAAGAATAGTCTTCATCGCCGATTTTATTAGCCCTGCAGAGTGTTCAGGTAGGTCTAACAGTGAAGGCGGGGATGAAAAACAAAGGGACGTGTCCCCATTCTCTCTTGATGGAGTGGACGTGGCAGGGGGGACCCAAGACAGGTCCATGTGAGGTGAAGAGGGAGTGGCTGCTTTGGAGCAGGCTGGGGATGAGGATGTTGTTGGTGGTGGTCGTGCTGCTGGTGCTGCTACTGGTGATGATGCAGCTGCTGCTGGTGATGATGCAGCTGCTTCTGATGACAGTGGAGGTGTTGAGATCCTTCGAGGTGGTGGAGGTGTTGAGATCCTTCGAGGTGGTGGAGGTGTTGAGATCCTTCGAGGTGGTGGTGGTGTTGAGATCCTTCGAGGTGGTGGAGGTGTTGAGATCCTTCGATGTGGTGGAGGTGTTGAGATCCTTCGAGGTGGTGGTGGTGTTGAGATCCTTCGAGGTGGTGGAGGTGTTGAGATCCTTCGAGGTGGTGGAGGTGTTGAGATCCTTCGAGGTGGTGGTGGTGTTGAGATCCTTCGAGGTGGTGGTGTTGAGATCCTTCGAGGTGGTGGAGGTGTTGAGATCCTTCGAGGTGGTGGTGGTGTTGAGATCCTTCGAGGTGGTGGAGGTGTTGAGATCCTTCGAGGTGGTGGAGGTGTTGAGATCCTTCGAGGTGGTGGAGGTGTTGAGATCCTTCGAGGTGGTGGAGGTGCAGAGACTTTTGGAGTTGGCTTCCTCCCTTTCGATGGCTGCACGCGCTGCGCAGGCTGAGGTCTCAGGGCAAAAGAAAGGTTATCCATCAACACTTTTACTCCGCAAGTGTTCAGATGTGGCCCTTTCCCTTCAAAAAGCTCATGCCTATTCCAGAACAGATTAAAATTCTCAATGAAGGCAAGTCCTCTGCGTGAACATTCGTTGAGTAGGAAAGTATTTAGCTGATACAGACGACTGAATTTCATTTGCTTCCCGTCCACATTTGGTAGTGGGCCACTGATAACAATTGTTACGTCCATTTTAGCAAGGTCGTCCAATAAAAGAGAATAATCCCGTTTCAGCTTTTCACTTGTGTTGTCATAGACGTCTACTGCTCCCACGTGGATCAACAATCTTTTTACCCCGCCGGTCTCAGACAGAAGCTTTGTAGCCAACAGCCTTATCTCATCCACTTTGGCAGAGTGTACTGAGTGAACCTTCAGATTACGCATGTTTACATGTCTTATCGCAGAATCCCAGATAAAGACCGACTCAGCTGCATTTGACCTTGACTGAGACTGAGAATGAGACTGAGACGGTACTGCTGATTCATCTTCCAAAAGATTTTATATTCATTGTAGGAAATTTGAGACCCCCAACATTTTTCTTTGAGGCTTTCAGGGTGTCAGGGTGTAATAATAATAATAATAATAATAATAATAATAATAATAATAGGTTTTAATTCTAACGCACCTTACATATGCAATGCACATCTCAATGTGCTACTGGTGGGGGTTGTGTGCATCTTGTTGTAAAGTTCCACTTCTACTGGCCGGGCACTAGGACTACATTGTTTTACGTAGCCGTGTAGACGCTTAGCACAAAGCGTGGTCGTTTTTGCAAATTACTTTGCAGCGACTCCGAAGCCTGCAGCACTAAACAGTTCGTATTCAAACTTGAGTCCTAAGTAAACTTTTTCTTTCACTTCCCAATTGTTTGTTAATTTGTGGGTAAATAATCCATAATATGCAAGAGTTCAAGAAGTCCAGACACTGAAAGACTTTAGCACTGCCTATTTCAACACTTCCCCTGTGCTTTTGTTTCAGTGGCTGATCAGAACCACAGTCAAAACGCATCCTTTGTTTGTGTGATCTTGAGCCATGGAAGTGAGGGCAGAATCTGTGGGACGGATGGCAGTACAACGCTGAAAAGCCTCACCAAACCTTTTAAAGGGGATCAGAGCAATCAGAGCCTCATAGGAAAACCCAAACTCTTCTTTATCGAGGTGAGTTTCTCCTTTTCTCTTCAATCCCCACCTCTTCAACTCTGTTTTGGCTCGTGCACAAAAGTTTAACACACCCAAATTTCTTTGCTTATTTAAAAACACATCTTAAATAAGAATGGGAAGAACATCCCATTCTTAAAACTATAAGGTGCACTGGGAGATGACTCTCTAACACCATGGATATTTTATTGATGTCTTCCTACATCACATCTCCTCTATAATGCTGGGAATCTCTGGGTCCCTCACAATATGATACGATAGTATCACAATGTGGTGCCATTATCAATATATTGGTCATATACTTGTTAACGATATGCATATACATATCCAAGGTGTGTTTGATTCTCATCCTTTGCATGTGGTTATTTTGCTGTACCTGTCGCTCTGTTGTGTTAAGTATAATCCATAGGCTCCAAAGGTACAATCCAAAAGTCCTCCATCTATTTACAGCAAATAAAATAAAATGTATCACACTTTTTTATGTATGCCTTAAATCTATTTTTACTTGCAAAACAAGTTCCTAATTTATGACTCAATGGCAATAAAAGCAATTCCTGAAATCTTCTCCTTCAGTTTAAGGGTAGCCTGGTTTTACCACACCATTGTACAAATTTCATTTCGTACTAAGGTCTTAATTTGCTCCATTGAGCTCCGTTAAGAGGTCAGATTGGTTAACTCCTTTTGCAGATTAAAACCATTGGATCTGAATTAGCCGTGATGTATGTAATGCGCCCGAGTGAGTGAGGCATTTAGCATTTAGCCTAGCTTTAGCTATCTCCTTTGCCACTAACGTAGAGTCACAATTTTCTTTCCAGCAATGAAACTGGCTAAACATTTCTCTTTCTCCGTCTTAAATTTTTTGATGAATGAACCAGAATGGATTACTTTACTATTGCATTCGCTGCCATTGCCAAACTACAACCGGAAAATGTGCCACAAACTCTTCACGTCACCAATACCTACCTACACCCGCCTCCCCCGCTCGCTGAATGGTCGGATGGGATACAACTGGGATACAATTAAGCCGGGGGCGGGTCCCGGCTTGAAAAGGTCCTTGAGCGTGTGCGCTGACATACTTGCAATACCACTCCGGTCCTGTGGGGGTGGACCCTGAACAAGAATAACTCAGTATGGTGTCTTCTTACCCCTCAAAAACGGCTTTACAGAATGGTCCAAAATTCTCTCTTGGCCCAAAGCTACGTTCCAGGTGCTGTCAATGCTGAGGGGAGAGTATTTTCTGGACCATTACCATCCATTGGTCCATTTTCTTCCCCTTAATCCATTTCTGGGTCAGGGGGTGGCAGTCAGAGCTGCACCCAATTCACTGAGCACCAGCCCCTCACTGATCCTGGCTGCTCTGTCAGTGACGATACAGCTTTGATTTGATCAGTGGGGACTTCAGGCAAAGCGTAAATTACTCCTCCTTGTGAGATAAATAAGAATATCTTATCTTATCTTATCTTAAGTGTCTTGCCCAAGGACACAACGACAGCAGACATCAGTGGGAGTCGGTGAAGAAGGTTCCGTGGTGGGCTCGAACCCACGTCTTTCAGGCTCAAAGGCCAAAGCTTTACCAACTGAGCCACTGTCACCCCTGGACCATTGCGGTTTAGCTATATAATTTTGAAGGCACTTGTCCAATGAATGAGTCTCATGGCGCCTGGCGCATGCACATATGCATTTTTTCATCATATATTCCTGCCCTGCGGCCATTTTGAAACTGCCCATAGACGGCAAAAGTGGTGGCACATTAGTTTCAGCGGCGGAGATAGGTGTGACTACGTTCATTAATATTTACAGTCTATACCACTAAGATTAGACCCAGACGTACAGTTTATGGATGGCCATGCTGGTTTAGGGGTTACTGCCCTACAGTGCCTTGCGAAAGTATTCGGCCCCCTTGAACCTTTCAACATTTCGCCATATATAAAGATATACAATTTTAATTTTTTGTCATGAATCAACAACAAGTGGGACACAATCGTGAAGTGGAATGAAATTTATTGGATAATTTAAACTTAAAAAAAAAATAAAAAACTGAAAAGTGGGGCGTGCAATATTATTCGGCCCCTTTACTTTCAGTGCAGCAAACTCACTCCAGAAGTTCAGTGAGGATCTGTAGTTATCTGCAGTTCATCCAGAGTGATCATGGGCCTCTTGGCTGCATCTCTGATCAGTCTTCTCCTTGTTTGAGATGAAAGTTTGGAGGGACGGCCGGGTCTTGGTAGATTTGCAGTGGTCTGATACTCCTTCCATTTCAATATAATTGCTTGCACAGTGCTCCTTGAGATGTTTAAAGCTTGGGAAATCTTTTTGTATCCAAATCCGGCTTTAAACCTCTCCACAACAGTATCTCGGACCTGCCTGGTGTGTTCCTTTGTCTTCATGATTCTCTCTGCGCTTTAAACAGAACCCTGAGACTATCAAAGAGCAGGTGCATTTATACGGAGACTTGATTACACACAGGTGCATTCTATTTATCATCATCAGTCATTTAGGACAACATTGGATCATTCAAAGATCCTCACTGAACTTCTGGACTGAGTTTGCTGCACTGAAAGTAAAGGGCCGAATAATATTGCACGCCCCACTTTTCAGTTTTTTATTTGTTAAAAAAGTTTAAATTATCCAACAAATTTCATTCCACTTCACGATTGTGTCCCACTTGTTGTTGATTCATGACAAAAAATAAAATTTTTATATCTTTATGTTTGAAGCCTGAAATGTGGCGAGATGTTGAAAAGTTCAAGGGGGCTGAATACTTTCGCAAGGCACTGTAAGTGCACCGATGACCACAGACACCACAGTCTTTAATATGCTGTACAGTTGTGTTAAAAACTGACATATTCACAATTTGTTTTTTTGTTGAGAAAGTAGGAGTTTATAGCATTGTTTGTTGTACTTTTTTTTCAAAGGCATGTCGTGTTTTAAATAAGAATCCTCGAAAAGAGGAAGAAGTTGTGGAAGAAGCTGTGGAACATAGTTGCGGTCCACATAATATTCCGGTGGATGCAGACTTCCTCTTTGCCTACGCCACGGATCCAGGTAACAAATTCCACAATTCTAGCCTTGATCCATTATCATAAATATTTATTTTCTAACACGCTGTATTGACAGGTCACTACGCATGGAGGGATAAGACAAATGGCTCCTGGTTCATTCAGTCTCTTTGTGAGATGATTTCAAAACACAAAGACCTGGAGCTGTTGCACATCATGACTCGAGTGAACAGAAAAGTGGCCTTTGAGTTTCAGACTCACAACTCCAAGGACCCGAAGTTAGACGGCTTAAAGGAAATCCCCTGCTTCACCTCCATGTTGACCAAAGATTTCTATTTCTCCAAAAAACCTTAATTATTTATATTTCAAACCAGGCACATATTCTTGATGCTCTACAGTTCAGGTACATACGATCTCAGCTAAAGACAAACAAGTTCTGTTTTTCTTTTTTCCTTATGACAAAGTATCCAGTAATTATCAAACCTGTTTTTCCTGTAGTCGTTTAACCTGGTTCTGATTATTTATGGTGTTTGATTATTAAGGGATTTTGGAGAAAGTGAAATGAAATACTCACAGTGAAAATGTGAATGATTTTTGATCAACTTCAATAAAATATGTTTACTGAAGTCATTTGTTATATTTGGACTATTTTAAACACTGACTAATGATTTACATTACAATCATCATAATAAGGAATGGGCCAGAATTCCAGCAGACGTTTGTGAGAAGCTCATGGAAGGACACCAAAAACATGTTCAAAGTATATTAACAACATGTATTTATGACTTTGTAAAAGGTCATTTTCACATTTTGTGGCATTGAGCAAATGTAAAAGCACCTGATCTACATTTGCTACAACTTTAAACACTAGAGGGAGCTGTGCACCTGTTTAAATTGGACAAATTACACATGTGCTACATACACATACAGTGGAGCAAAAGGTATTTAGTCAGCCACCAGTAGAGCAAGTTATCCCACTTTTTAAAGAATTTTTAAAGAATATATTTGCACATTATTGTTGAAAATAAGTATTTAGTCACCTACAAACAAGCAAGATTTGTGGCTCTCACAGACCTGTAACTTCTTTAAAGTGATTGTCTGGAGTTTGTCAGAAAGAGAGACAGAGAGGTACTTGATTTGAAAAAAACGACGCAAGCTCCTCCCCCTTCCTTTCTGATTGGTCTACTTTTAAATGTTAATCTGAGAACACATTAAACATATACATTGCACACACACATGCACGGAGGTTTTCAGAATTATTTGTTAATGTTTTAATGAAAAAAAAAAATCTGATTATGGATATAGGTTCATATATAAATGATTATGGATATAGGTTCAGTATATAAATGATTATGGATATAGGTTCAGTATATAAATGATTATGGATATAGGTTCAGTATATAAATGATTATGGATATAGGTTCAGTATATAAATGATTATGGATATAGGTTCAGTATATAATAGAGGCTTGATTCAGAGGCTCCGCGAAAACAAACAACTGAGCATGAGCAGCTGCGAGCATCAGCGCCGATGATTGACAGCCCTTGGCATGACTCGATTGGTTAACCTCGACAGCACCGTGGATTCTGAACTATAGCTAAGAGCAGGGAAGGCGGGACTTGCCCGTAATATTAGAATTAATAAAATTACTTATTTTATATCAACATTTAAGGCCAGGAGGTCAATTTAACACATTTCCTAAAATTTGCAATTCATTTAGAGTTACAGACTATCACTTTAAGAAGCTCTTCAGTCCTCCACTCGTTACCTGTATTAATGGCACCTGTTTGAACTCATCTGTATAAAAGACACCTGTCCACAGCCTCAAACAGTCAGACTCCAAACTCCACTATGGCCAAGACCAAAGAGCTGTCGAAGGACACCAAGAAAATAATTGTAGACCTGCACCAGACTGGGAAGAGTGAATCTACATTAGGCAAGCAGCTTGGTGTGAACAAATCAACTGTGGGAGCAATTATCAGAAAATGGAAGACATACAAGACCACTGATAATCTCCCTCGATCACAAGATCTCATCCCGTGGGGTCAAAATGACCATGAGAACGGTGATCAAAAATCCCAGAACCACTCGGGGGGACCTGGTGAATGACCTGCAGAGAGCTGGGACCAAAGTAACAAAGGTTACCATCAGTAACACACTACGACGACAGGGAATCAAACCCTGCAGTGCCAGACGTGTCCCCCTGCTGAAGCCAATGCATGTCCAGGCCCGTCTGATGATCCAGAAGATTGGGAGACTGTCATATGGTGAGATGAAACCAAAATAGAATCTTTAGGGAAAAACTCAACAGCCTTATACCTGAGGCACAGGTATTCTAATTGTCCGCAATTCATTGGAATAATAAAAATACACAACATGCATAAAAGTATAAAAACATAAACCTTATTAAAACCCACAACACACCGACAGTATCAATACATTTCCCAACTTTAAAAGATAAGTTTCCTTCACAAATATGTCATTGAAGAAGGATTGCACTGGAAAATAACTGGTACTTTTGAAATATCTGTATGTGTTGTGTACTCTTGTCTTTGTGTATTACTCCTGACTCAGGTACTTCTGAAATTCCATCCATTTTCTTCCACTTCATCTGTTGCCGGGTCGCGGGGCCAGCAGTCTAAGCAGAGACGCCCAGACTTCCCTATCCACACACCTCCTCCAGCTCGTCCGGGGGTGTTCCCAGGCCAGCTGAGAGACATAGTCCCTCAGTGTGTCCTGGGTCTTCTCCAGGGCCTCCTCCCGGTGGGACGTGCCCAGAACACCTCGGCTGCACCATGCCGGGCTACGTCACAGGTTTCATATTTGTACTATCCATGATGGCTTTGGACTGCGCTTCGTCTCTGACTTGTCACCCACGACCTGTTTGCCGTGGACAGCCTTACCAGGGGCACAAAGCCCCAGACAACATAGCTCCCAGGATCATCCAAGTACTCAAACTCTTACACATGGTAAGACCAGACGTACATGTAGGAAATGACCATGGACCAGAGTTTACACATGGTAAGACCAGACGTACATGTAGGAGATGATCATGGACCAGAGTTTACACATGGTAAGACCAGACGTACATGTAGGAAATGACCATGGACCAGAGTTTACACATGGTAAGACCAGACGTACATGTAGGAAATGACCATGGACCAGAGTTTACACATGGTAAGACCAGACGTACATGTAGGAGATGATCATGGACCAGAGTTTACACATGGTAAGACCAGACGTACATGTAGGAGATGATCATGGACCAGAGTTTACACATGGTAAGACCAGACGTACATGTAGGAAATGACCATGGACCAGAGTTTACACATGGTAAGACCAGACGTACATGTAGGAAATGACCATGGACCAGAGTTTACACATGGTAAGACCAGACGTACATGTAGGAAATGATCATGGACCAGAGTTTACACATGGTAAGACCAGACGTACATGTAGGAAATGATCATGGACCAGAGTTTACACATGGTAAGACCAGGCTAGCTAATATTGTATCATTTCACAAAATCCCAAGGCTAAGCTAACAGGCCACGGCCCACTGGTTGAAAAACACTGCTCTAAGCTTCTGTCCGTGTCTCGCTGCGATAGTTTAAAGTCTGATCTCCATGTTTCCTCCAGTGTCTCAGGAGGACCACAGCAAACACGCCTCTTTCGTGTGTGTGATTCTGAGTCACGGGGAAGAGGGCGTGATCTTTGGGACGGACGGGTTTGAAAAGCTCGACGTCCTCACCCGATTTTTTAAAGGAGACAAATGCAAGTCCCTCGTTGGAAAACCCAAACTCTTCTTTATACAGGTCAGTCTCACATGTTTCACGGCAAGACGTTTCCATTCCATCTCATCTCCAGACCTTTCTGTGTGGAGTTTGCATGTTCTCCCCGTGTCTGCTTAGGTTTCCTCCAGGTGCTCCGGTCTCCCTACAATTAAAAACATGTAGAATAGAACTCCTCGTGTGTGGAGGGACAATGTTGGAACTATACAGAGGATTGCAGAATTACTAATACTACTTTAACTATTTTCACATAATGTATTGTAAACATGAAATACAGTAAATATGCAAACGTCAAACAATAATTATAAAAATAAATTTTATTTATATTGCACCTTACATTTCCAGGAAACCTCAAAGTGCTACAGATTAAAATACAAAACCACAAATGACAAAACAAAGAAAAATAATCAGAAGTACATAAATATATCAAAAGGAAAACCGGGTTAAAAGCTGAAAAAAATCCCTAAGAAATAATAAGAAATATTATTCATTCATTTTATTGGTTTATAAATAATGAATGTAGATAATAGTAGATAATATGGTGTAACGTGTATGAGCAGTAAAAAAAAACTCTTTGCCTGTAACTCCCTAAACTACCACCAGAGGGATTTTTTTTAAGTAAGTAAGTATGTAATTATTTATATACCGCCTTTTCACTGCAGAGCTGAGTCTCAAAGCGGTTTACAATTGTTATATATTTTTTTTTTGGGCATTTGTCTCTCACTCCACACAGAGATGGGAGCGGGGTCGCCAGTACAGGAGGCACATGCCAGAACTATTTTACATATTTTTAGCGGTAGGGGAAACCGGAGTACCCGGAGGAAACCTACGCAGACACGGGGAGAACATGCAAACTCCACTCAGAAAGGCCCTGGTCCGACCGGGATTCGAACCCAGGACCTTCTTGCTGAGAGGCGAGAGTGCTATCCACTCAGCCACCGTGCCGCCCCAATTTTAAATTGTTTGTTTATTTGAAAATTACTGGCTGCAAACTTATAAAGAGTTTCATTTCTCTTCAGAAATTGCCAAAACTGATTTATGAGCAACACTTTTGTCTATAAAAATGTCAAAAATCTTCTCTTTTTACAAGACTGAGACGGGAGCTTTAAGACAAAGAGCTGGAAGTCAATTCTTGTGCCAGAAGTTCCTGATATCAGCGTCTATAGATCCTTGTTTATTGATATCCTTCCAAAGGCGTGTCGCGGGTCTGAGTTTGACGCTGGGATCGAAGCCGATGCAGTAGACTCTTCAGACTCGTCCACAGACCGGATCCCCGTGGAGGCAGACTTCCTGTACGCCTACTCCACCGCTCCAGGTCAGTCTCAAACACGTCTGAATGTGTTAAAGGGTCACATCAAAGCTCTAAGTCTTCTAAAGTCACTGGGTTTATCATTCACAAGAAGCCACATAAACATCGTCAAATAGTACATGTATTTTTTTTCTTCATGAAGGAAAGAGCAGAGTTGGCAAAAGCCACAATCTTTGCCAGCGATTACATTTGCTAAACATTCCTCTTGCTCCGGCTTCAATTTCTTGATAGAACCAGACCGGATTACTTTACTATCGCATTCTTCGCCAAACTACAACCTTCCCGTTCGGCGCAAACTCTTGACGTCACCCACATCTAACTACAACACCCGCCTCCCGCGCTCTCTGATCGGTCGGATGGAATTCAACCGATTGTAATCACAAACACAGGGACCAGACCCAGACGTTACATGCAGGAAATGATGATTGAGTGTGATGAGGCCAGGCTAGGTCCAGATTGGTCTTGGACTAATTCAAATGGGTTCGGGCTTTCATTTGTGGAAACCTGTGGGACTTGTTTATTAACTCTGCATCAACAAACCCCCATGGTTTTCTGGAGAGGGAAAATTTAGAAAAACTTGAAAACTTACAACAAAGCTCGGATTCAAAAAGGGAAAGAGAAAGTACAAGCCTCTATTGGGATTATTTATAAGATGCTAAAAGAATCTTCACAGTTGTCATGGAGATAAAATGGAGATCAGTTCCTCAAAAGACGTTTGTTTTCTGACAAGGTTTTGACATGAGACTCAAGTTTAAACACAAAACATACTTTTTTTCAAAATTTGCTAAACTTCAGAAACTCAGGCTTTTGCAGTGACATTGACCTAAAAGAAAGTCCGGATTTGATGTTGCCAGGTATTTGTATATTCACCGAGGGAAATGAAAAATAGGATGCGGATCTTTGCTTTGGTTAAAAAAGAAACTTTTTATGCTAATGTCATCATTTGAAGTTAATTAACACTGATCCAACATTGATATAAAAACAAAACAACCTTTCCTATGTTGTCAGAGTATGGAGGGTTTATTTTTCATTCAGTGTGTGTGTGTGTGTGTGTGTGTAAGTGTATGTATATATGTGTGTTTATATGTGTACGTGCGTGTGTGTGTGTTTGTGTGTCTAGTCACCGAGGCCTATGCATTAGCATTAGCATTAGCATTCTGTCATCCTAATTTCTTTGTTATGGCTGCGGGAAAATGCTGTAATATACAGTGCATCCGGAAACTATTCACAGCGCTTCAATTTTTTCACATTTTTTTATGTTAGTCTTATTCCAAATTGGGTTCAATTCATTTTTTTCCTCACTATTGTGCACACAACACCCCATAATGACAACGTGAAAACTATTTTTTTGGAGATTTTTGCAAATGTATTACAAATAATCACAAAATGGCTGCTAGAACTAAAGTAGTGTTCCCCAGGTCACCACGGCAACCAGCTTCCTAAAAAGAATTAGAATTAGAATTATCGTCCCTTTTGGTTGCCATGGCAAACATCGTTATGTCATCGATGATGTCACCGTGGCCTTGGAGATAGGAAGTTCTCCAGGGGCCACCCATCTGTGAAGTCCAGGTCCAAGGAGTCAAGGTCTGCTCAGTGGGGTCGTTTCTAACGGGACGTGGCAAAGACATCCGAAACACGTTCTATAAAGGTTTATACAGGGACTTCAAAGACATGGCTCGCAGGAGTCCTCGACTGGTGGAATCGGGGTATTACGTTATGGATGGAAACCCCCGCATCTCATACTCAGACACCAGTCGCAGAAGTTCCAACAGCTTCACAAATATGCGGCGCCATAGCTACCAGCTGGAGGCGAGGAAGGCCGCGAATGTCATCCATGTGTCTGCGCCTGCAGTTCAGCCCAGGTCCCGGTTCAGCTTGGCCTGGTTCATAATCCAGCTTCTCCTTCTTGGCCTTGCTATGTCCTGGCTGACAATGAAGTTTGCTGTTAATGGTGACGTGCAGCAGCTGCAGAAGAAGGTAAAACTTTTGCAGCAGCTGGAGGAGGAGGTCGATCATTTGCGTCAGCAGCTTGAGCATCACAAGGCGATGGTGAAAGCTCCTTTAGCCAACTTTGCACTGGAAACTCATGGGGCTCGGGTGACTGCTGTGACTTCCAAGACACTCAAGCAGAAAAATCGTCCGCTTTGGCTCAAATTTCTCGGTCCAAACACCGTGATCAAAGGTCATAATTATCCTTTGATTCCTGGACAGTGCTGGGCGTTCTCAGGTCAGACTGGGAGGCTTTCCATAGCTCTACCCCTGGAGATCCACATCACCAAAGTAACTGTAGGACACATTTTGAAGGGGCAGTCTCTTACAGGAACAATTGACTCCGCTCCAAAGTCTTTCTCTGTGTATGGACTGAAGGACTTTGGACCAACAGAGGTAAGACTTGGAACATTTGTCTACGACGCAGACGGGGACTCGTTCCAAACATTTGAGATCCTGGAGCAACACAAGGGTGAGACTTTCCGGTCCGTGAGGTTAGAGATTCACGATAACCATGGGCACGATACATTCACCTGTGTATACAGCTTCAGGGTACATGGGGACATCCCTGAATCCAGCACCACAACGTTCACCAAGTCGACATACAGCTGGTTAGGAGGGATAGCAGTTACAAAGCACCCGACTTAACCCTCGCCCTCGCCCTGTTTCCATCCAGATACAGCTGAAGTCACTGTCACGTGTGGGTCAGTTCCTGCTGGAATCTCAGAGCTACTGTCCAGCTCTTTGGGTGTGGTCTCAGACATTGACGGTAACCTCAGAGAGAATCTCATGAAATAATTCAATGTCTGAGCTGATTGGTAGAGTCGGTGCGTAACTCCTCTAAGTTGCGTCTCGACTCGGTAGACGTTTTTGTGCTGGAAGCAGGGTTTTTCCCATGTTCCCTGAAGCTATAAACACAGTTGAATTTACTGTGCCTATGGCTATTGTGAATCTCCAACCTCCTGAACCAGAAAGTCTCACCTGTGTGTTGCTCCAGCGACACAAGGATGAGACTGGTCTGGGGTCTTGTGGTTGTGATTGTCACATGGAACACTTCTTATTTCGTTTCATTTCTCAGGTCACCTTAAAACAGCGGTCAATCTCCTTCTACAGAGCTGGACAAGAACAAGTCATACCCCTCTCTTCAATGGAATCTACAGCTGATTAAAAAGTCTCCTAAGAAATTAAACAAAAATAAGTCACGTCCATAAACAAGTTACAAACCACCCGACTTAACCCTAACCTTCGCCCTGTCCCCATTATATAGATTTAAGATGACTTAACCCTAACCCTCGACCTGTCCCCTTCTAGATTTAAGTTGACTTAAATCTCTGTTACATGTGGGATAGTTTCTGCTGGCATTTTTGGCTCAATAGGTGTGGCCTGAGTCATTGGCGGTAACCTCTGAGTGAAACTCATGAGATTATACAATGTCTGAGCTGATTGGCGGAGGCGGTGTGCTATCCCTCCTAACCAGCTGTATGTCGACTTGGTGAACGTTGTGGTGCTGGATTCAGGGATTTCCCCATGTACCCTGAAGCTGTATACACAGGTGAATGTATCGTGCCCATGGTTATCGTGAATCTCTAACCTCACGGACCGGAAAGTCTCACCCTTGTGTTGCTCCAGGATCTCAAATGTTTGGAACGAGTCCCCGTCTGCGTCGTAGACAAATGTTCCAAGTCTTACCTCTGTTGGTCCAAAGTCCTTCAGTCCATACACAGAGAAAGACTTTGGAGCGGAGTCAATTGTTCCTGTAAGAGACTGCCCCTTCAAAATGTGTCCTACAGTTACTTTGGTGATGTGGATCTCCAGTGGTAGAGCTATGGAAAGCCTCCCAGTCTGACCTGAGAACGCCCAGCACTGTCCAGGAATCAAAGGATAATTATGACCTTTGATCACGGTGTATGGACCGAGAAATTTGAGCCAAAGCGGACGATTTTTCTGCTTGAGTGTCTTGGAAGTCACAGCAGTCACCCGAGCCCCATGAGTTTCCAGTGCAAAGTTGGCTAAAGGAGCTTTCACCATCGCCTTGTGATGCTCAAGCTGCTGACGCAAATGATCGACCTCTTCCTCCAGATGCTGCAAATGTTTTACCTCCTTCTGCAGCTGCTGCACGTCACCATTAACAGCAAACTTCATTGTCAGCCAGGACACAGCAAGGCCAAGAAGGAGAAGCTGGATTATGAACCAGGCCAAGCTGAACCGGGACCTGGGCTGAACTGCAGGCGCAGACACATGGATGACATTCGCGGCCTTCCTCGCCTCCAGCTGGTAGCTGTGGCGCCGCATATTTGTGAAGCTGTTGGAACTTCTGCGACTGGTGTCTGAGTATGAGATGCGGGGGTTTCCATCCATATCGTAATACCCCGAGTCGACCAGTCGAGGACTCCTGCGAGCCATGTCTTTGAAGTCCCTGTATAAACCTTTATAGAACGTGTTTCGGATGTCTTTGCCACGTCCCGTTAGAAACGACCCCACTGAGCAGACCTTGACTCCTTGGACCTGGACTTCACAGATGGGTGGCCCCTGGAGAACTTCCTAGCTCCAAGGCCACGGTGACATTATCGATGACATAACCATGTTTGCCATGGCAACCAGAAGGGACGATAATTCTAATTCTAATTCTTTTTAGGAAGCTGGTTGCCGTGGTGACCTGGGGAACACTTCTTTAGTTCTAGCAGCCATTTTGTGATTATTTGTAATACATTTGCAAAAATCTCATTATGGGGTGAGGAAAAAAAAGAATTGAACCCAATTTGGAATAAGACTAACATAAAAAAAGTGAAAAAATTGAAGCCCTGTGAATAGTTTCCGGATGCACTGTATATTACAGCATTTTCCCGCAGCCATAACAAAGAAATTAGGATGACAGAATGCTAATGCTAATGCTAATGCATAGGCCTCGGTGACTACACACACAAACACGCACACACACACACAAACACGCACACACACACACGCACGTACACATATACAAACACATATACACACACATATATATACATACACTTACACACACACATACACACACACTGAATGAAAAATAAACCCTCCATACTCTGACAACATAGGAAAGGTTGTTTTGTTTTTATATCAATGTTGGATCAGTGTTAATTAACTTCAAATGTCATAAAATGATGAAATTAGCATAAAAAGTGTCTTTTTTAACCAAAGCAAAGATCCGCATCCTATTTTTCATTTCCCTCGGTGAATATACAAATACCTGGCAACATCAAATCCAGACTTTCTTTTAGGTCAATGTCACTGCAAAAGCCTGAGTTTCTGAAGTTTAGCAAATTTTGAGAAAAAGTATGTTTTGTGTTTAAACTTGAGTCTCATGTCAAAACCTTGTCAGAAAACAAACGTCTTTTGAGGAACTGATCTCCATTTTATCTCCATGACGACTGTGAAGATTCTTTTAGCATCTTATAAATAATCCCAATAGAGGCTTGTACTTTCTCTTTCCCTTTTTGAATCCGAGCTTTGTTGTAAGTTTTCAAGTTTTTCTAAATTTGCTCTCCAGAAAACCATGGGGGTTTGTTGATGCAGAGTTAATAAACAAGTCCCACAGGTTTCCACAAATGAAAGACCGAACCCATTTGAATTAGTCCAAGACCAATCTGGACCTAGCCTGGCCTCATCACACTCAATCATCATTTCCTGCATGTAACGTCTGGGTCTGGTCCCTGTGTTTGCGATTACAATCGGTTGAATTCCATCCGACCGATCAGAGAGCGCGGGAGGCGGGTGTTGTAGTTAGATGTGGGTGACGTCAAGAGTTTGCGCCGAACGGGAAGGTTGTAGTTTGGCGAAGAATGCGATAGTAAAGTAATCCGGTCTGGTTCTATCAAGAAATTGAAGCCGGAGCAAGAGGAATGTTTAGCAAATGTAATCGCTGGCAAAGATTGTGGCTTTTGCCAACTCTGCTCTTTCCTTCATGAAGAAAAAAATACATGTACTATTTGACGATGTTTATGTGGCTTCTTGTGAATGATAAACCCAGTTACTTTAGAAGAGTTAGAGCTTTGATGTGACCCTTTAACACATTCAGACGTGTTTGAGACTGACCTGGAGCGGTGGAGTAGGCGTACAGGAAGTCTGCCTCCACGGGGATCCGGTCTGTGGACGAGTCTGAAGAGTCTACTGCATCGGCCTCGATCCCAGCGTCAAACTCAGACCCGCGACACGCCTTTGGAAGGATATCAATAAACAAGGATCTATAGACGCTGATATCAGGAACTTCTGGCACAAGAATTGACTTCCAGCTCTTTGTCTTAAAGCTCCCGTCTCAGTCTTGTAAAAATGTGATCGCAACACTGCACCACGACGTCAAGCTCAGAGAAGATTTTTGACATTTTTATAGACAAAACTGTTGCTCATAAATCAGTTTTGGCAATTTCTGAAGCGAAATGAAACTCTTTATAAGTTTGCAGCCAGTAATTTTCAAATAAACAAACAATTTAAAAAAAATCCCTCTGGTGGTAGTTTAGGGAGTTACAGGCAAAGAGTTTTTGTTTACTGCTCATACACGTTACACCATATATTATCTACTCTATATTATATTTCACATTTCAAATTCATTATTTATAAACCAATAAAATGAATGAATAATATTTCTTATTATTTCTTAGGGATTTTTTTCAGCTTTTAACCCGGTTTTTCTTTTGATATATTTATGTACTTCTGATTATTTTTCTTTGTTTTGTCATTTGTGGTTTTGTATTTTAATCTGTAGCACTTTGAGGTTTCCTGGAAATGTAAGGTGCAATATAAATAACATGTATTTTTATTATTATTGTTTGACGTTTGCATATTTACTGTATTTCATGTTTACAATACATTATGTGAAAATAGTTAAAGTAGTATTAGTAATTCTGCAATCCTCTGTATAGTTCCAACATTGTCCCTCCACACACGAGGAGTTCTATTCTACAGATGTTTTTAATTGTAGGGAGACCGGAGCACCTGGAGGAAACCTAAGCAGACACGGGGAGAACATGCAAACTCCACACAGAAAGGTCTGGAGATGAGATGGAATGGAAACGTCTTGCCGTGAAACATGTGAGACTGACCTGTATAAAGAAGAGTTTGGGTTTTCCAACGAGGGACTTGCATTTGTCTCCTTTAAAAAATCGGGTGAGGACGTCGAGCTTTTCAAACCCGTCCGTCCCAAAGATCACGCCCTCTTCCCCGTGACTCAGAATCACACACACGAAAGAGGCGTGTTTGCTGTGGTCCTCCTGAGACACTGGAGGAAACATGGAGATCAGACTTTCAACTATCGCAGCGAGACACGGACAGAAGCTTAGAGCAGTGTTTTTCAACCAGTGGGCCGTGGCCTGTTAGCTTAGCCTTGGGATTTTGTGAAATGATACAATATTAGCGGGGGCGACAGTAGCTCAGTTGGTAGAGCATTGGCCTTAAGGCCAGAAGGTCGTGGGTTCAATTCCCACCTCTGCACCTTCTCCACCGACTCCCACTGATGACTGCTGTTGTTGTGTCCTTGGGCAAGACACTTAACCCCACTTTGCCCAAAGCCCCCGCTGAAAAGATCAAGGCTATGCTCACACTCAGTGAGCAGCCGCCCTCCTGTGGACTCACCACCTGCAGAGGGTCAGTGAGGGGCTGGTGCTATGAGACTTGGGTGGCATCTCTGATTGCCACCCCCCTGACCCAGAAATGGATTAAAGGGTAGAAAATGGATGGATGGATGGATGGATACAATATTAGCTAGCCTGGTCTTACCATGTGTAAACTCTGGTCCATGATCATTTCATACATGTACGTCTGGTCTTACCATGTGTAAACTCTGGTCCATGATCATCTCCTACATGTACGTCTGGGTCTTACCATGTGTAAACTCTGGTCCATGATCATTTCCTACATGTACGTCTGGTCTTACCATGTGTAAACTCTGGTCCATGATCATCTCCTACATGTACGTCTGGGTCTTACCATGTGTAAACTCTGGTCCATGATCATCTCCTACATGTACGTCTGGTCTTACCATGTGTAAACTCTGGTCCATGATCATTTCCTACATGTACGTCTGGTCTTACCATGTGTAAACTCTGGTCCATGATCATCTCCTACATGTACGTCTGGTCTTACCATGTGTAAACTCTGGTCCATGATCATTTCCTACATGTACGTCTGGGCCTGATCCTAGTGGCTGCAGTTTCCTCGGTTGAATCTCCTCCGACCAATCAGAGAGCGGGGGAGGCGGGTGTTGTAGGTCGGTGTCGGTGACGTCAAGAGTTTGCGCCGAATTTTCTGGTTGTAGTTTGTCGGAGAATGCGATAGTAAAATAATCTGTTCTGGTTCAATCCAAATATCAAGAAACTGAAGCCGGACCAAGAGGAATGTTTAGTAAATGTCATTGCTGCAAAGATGTTGTGGCTCTACTCCCCACAAGCTCCGATAGCGGCAAAGGAGATGGCTAAAGCTAGGCTACATGCTAAAGCTAGGCTACATGCTAAAGCTAGGCTACATGCTAAAGCTAGGCTACATGCTAAATGCCTCACTCACTCGGGCTCATTACATACGTCACAGTAAACTCAGATCCAATGGTTTCAATCTGCAAAAGGAGTTAGCCCCTCCCACCTGTTCACGGAGTCAATGGAGACAATCCAGACCTGAGTACTAATGAAATGAGTACAATGGTGTGGTAAGACCAGGCTAAATATTACCTAATTGTTTCAGCTGGCTTAGGGCACATGTGACAGATTCAAATATATGTATTATTATATTTAGGACTTAAGACAACAAAAATACATGAGGGATAGGACAGCACAGGCAGGTCAAATTCGGGCTCGTGGGCCAAATCCGGCCCGCAAGACAGTTTGGTGGCCCCTAAAATTCTTTTCAATGATTGACTTTCAGCCTTGATGGTAACGTAGTTCATTACATCAAGGCAGATAAATACATCATTTATTTTGTTTAACTGGAAAACAACCAAATGTAATTTATTCTAACAATTTAACCCAACGTCATTATCAGTTAAATGGTTCAATATAAAATAATGTGTTTAAGTTTATACTTGGCCCAGTTTTGGTTCAATCTAATCAATAAACACATTTTGTTTTCAGATTGAAGTAACGTCAAATACCTTTATAACGTAGAAAACAATAAGAAAAGGAAATCCCTTCTATTCTTTTGTTTCTATGCTTTTCACTCGGCCCCAGATCAAAAAGAGTTGGACACCTCTGAGAAAGCAGACGCAGGATGAATTGAGAAGGTAGTATATACAAACAGTAAAAGTGAGACGTGGCTTTTTAGGTTCTTCTAATAAGACAATTAAAGCAAAAAAGACCTCTGATGAAGGCGGAAGTGTACCGCCGAAACATGTCAGGTATTTAAGCAGTACTAGCTTTTTTTTGCTTTAATTGTCTTATTAGAAGAACCTAAAAAGCCATAAACATAAGAAGACAGAATGAATTTTCTACATTTAGTAAAAGTGAGAGTTACCGCTGTGCAGCTTCTCCTTCATCTCTTTCACACTGAGGTCGGTCGATACAATCATTTTATATCCCAGGTTCACAAAGGTCTTCATCACAGCAGCTGCGTCCTTGTCTGTGCCGTTTCGAGCGCTCATTCCTGGGAAAACAAAAACACATGTGACTGTTTTAATTGTTGTAAGGAAAGTATTTTTGCAGATAATGTGGTTTACTCTGGGGGTGGGTCATTATTTTCTACCAAAGGCCACACATTTGGGTATCGGCCTAGTGTGGAGGCACGAAACCAATGTCACGTGGTTAAATTTAAAAAGCATAAAAAATCTGTTTATTTAAAGCAGCAATATGTGAGATTTTCATGTCAAGTCATCATTAAAAGGGCCTTAATCTGTCAAAAGGCATTAATAAAACATGGTCTTTTCCAATTCTTCTACTTGATAACTTCAGTTCAGAGATATTTGGATTTCTAAATAACTTTTCCAGCCCCTAAATCTTGTTATTGTTTTCATTTTGATGTCCCGCCCTCCACCGTTTCACCAATCAGAAAGTCTGTGATCCGGGCGCCAGAACTCACCGTTAGGGCTGGGCGATATGGCTGAAAACTATATCACGATATAAGTCATTCATATCGGTCGATAACGATATATATTGAGTTTTTTTTTTTTAACCTAAATAAATATATTTGTTGTGTGGGCTAACCAACCTTAGCAGCCTTGTTTACAGTCACGGGGCGATGAGGCGATGAGGCTGGAGGAATATAGTCCTGGTTTAATCCTGGTTTTTTATTCCTGGTTTAGCTCCTGGTTTAGCTGTTTGAGGGTCTTGTGTCCCCGTGACCGCTCCGTGCGGCTCTCTGTGGCGCACATGCTTCCCGAGGAAAAAGTTAATCTCTTGCTTTCGCCGAATACATCGTGTCTGTCCACTGCCTCTGCCGCCGCACATGTTATTCCGCGCACGTACGTGCATAACCATTGACACGGCATTGAAACACGAGCTATAGATCCATGGACGCTACGCATGCTGCGGTTGTTGGTGTTTTTGCATTTCCCACAAAGTTTTGCGGTTCCTGCCCGGCTGTTATTGGTCGAAAAGCCTCTGCCTACATCCCCCACAATGCCATGCGCTTATGAGTCGGCTTTACTTCCGGTGTTTTCTTCCTGTTTTTCCTGACAGACAGTTAAACTATCGAACATTCTATCGACCCCATTCTCTATTGATATCGAACACATGTCTATCGCGATATATATCGTTATCGTTTTATCGCCCAGCCCTACTCACCGTGTGGAGCTAATCTCACTGGTAAAGTACCATGTGGCGCAGAACTAAAAAAGGTCTCGTTATGATTCTCAAATCATTAACGACAAAACAAGGAATAAAACCAGGATTTCTATCTTTGTGAAAAAGGTGTTGGTTATAGATTTGTTGCTGACAAAACTCTTGTCTATTCAGCTGTTATGGTCCCAGCGGGATTCGTCTGCATATCTGGCAACCTGAGTCAGGGAGAGTGGGAGAGGCTGCAGTACCACTTTTGGCCACATGTTTACACACTGCTCCTTTAACAAACGTGAAGCTATCCAGTGTTATCTTTGTGTTTGTGGACATTTTGTTTTTGAGCAAATTATTACTAACAAAATATTGGGTTCATGTGATGTCACGTCTGTTGGTTTTGTGTTGACATAATTTACAAACTGTTTTAAAGTGATCATGAAGCTAAGTGAGTAAGAGAGATGTGTGTATTTTTGAGCCTCAGGACCTCGGTACCTGTGCTGCGGTGGAAGTTCTTGTTGTTGATGAGCAGACAGATTCCAACGCTGGAGAAGTCTGTGCGGTATTTGTACGGATCCTGCTCGCTCTGGACTTTCACTTTGGGACTTTGCTCTGAGCTGGAGTCTGTGGAGGTCTCTGGGTCCAGCCCCTCGTCTCCACCGGCACTTTCTGACGACGGCGGGTTCTTTCTGCAACAAATTCAGTCCAAGGTTACGTTCTCAGACTACAGGTACATTCACAGCTTTGGAAAGAAAAACAAAAACAGTGATCAGAATCAGAATCTGAGAGTGATCTGAAAGACTTACTTGGAAAACTGCCATGCATCGACAGTGTCTCCTGGGGTCGGTCCTTCTTCTGCCATGATTCTGAAAACAAAACAGTCAATAAAAATATGTCTTATGATTTACCCGGTCCAATCTGAATACTTTGAAGATGTGACACTAATAAACAAAATAATATAGTGTAACCCTGCAGAGCAAGATTGAAATAACGTTGTTTTTTGGCTATTTTAGTTCAGACACATGCACCACTAACTATTTAATCTCCATTCATTTTTTTTCAATTTTCTGCTGAAGTCGCACAATCAAATATATTCTTTTAAATGTTTGAAAGGTAACAGCAATCTGAAAAGTAAAGTGATGTGGTCGCTCTATCGGATTGTTGTGGTGAAGAAAGAGCGGAGTCCAAAGCTTTCAATTTCCCGGTCAATCTACGCCCCACCTTCACTTATGGTCATGAGCTTTGGGTACGGACTAAAAGGACGAGATCACGGATACAAGCGGTCGAAGTGGCTTAGAGGGTGAGCAGCTCAGTCACACAGGAGGAGCTTGGAGTAGAGCCGCTGCTTCTCCAACCACAGGTGTAAATGGAGGTGACTCTGGCATCTGTTTTGGATGCCTCCTGGACTCCTCCCGGGAGAAGTGCTCTGGACTTGCCCCGCTGAGAGGAGACCAGGGGAAGACCCAGAACACTAGACCAAATGCAAATTACAACATCAAAACTCCAGGAACCAGGAACTATGATTTACAAAGCTACGTCACAAACGGAAGAGTCATATAATCCTACAGTTGAACTTTCATTATCGCACTGCACGGCCTTCCACTTCACCTCTGATCATTTATTTGAAAAAAGGGAATTGAAATTGTACTTGTGGTATTCAACAGGAAATTAAGACAGTTAAATGCTTAATATATCAACAGTAGGCCAAAGTTTAATTTGGATATTGGCATAAACAATAGATCATCCAGGTGATATCCAATTCAACACAATTCCCACAATGACCATCCCCAGGAGTTAAATACCAGTATCTTTGAGCAGGTCAGCTATGAACCTGCTATACAGTATTTAACTTATAACTGTAATTATGTCTTTAAACAAATAAATATTGTCAACTCTTTCTTAAAAAGTCACCGTAGAATCACGAGTTGAGTTTCAAGCCTCCATTAATGTGTAACTAGTAATAAATGTGTGTCTAAATATTATCAAAAAGAAAGTGAAAACATTTTTTTTTTTTTTTTTAATCGCAGGTTGAGGTGTAAGCTTGACCTTTTAATGTGGCAGAAAATAAATTAAAATGTATTAATTTTCAACACAGGTCTACCAGTTCGTTATGCAACTAAACCATTGTACTAACAGCGGTATGTGTCATAGTAGCCTCGATACTATAACTTTTATGTCACGTACGAGTCAATAATTTACCATGAAATAAACAATTACAGGCTATGTTCAGATGTGATTTATTAAAATAGAGACGAAAAACAACATTGCGAGGCTGCCTAAATAAAAACCTATGGGGCATGTTGGAACCTGTGCAACTAGTTTCAGTCTGTCAACACTAAAAAATCACAATCTTCTCATCCGATTATGAATTAAATGTTATTAAAAAGGATGGACATACCTTTAAAGTGCGCAAGATGTCTGTAAAAAAAAAAGCGACGTCAGGATAATTGTGCAAGTTTGAGGAGATAAAACAGTTCAAGGAAGCAGCGAGTATGGAACGGTATGGAAAGGTGAACTCGCGACGTCCTGAAGCTAGCCAATCAGAGGCCAGGGATCGGGCTGGGGGCGGGTGCTAAGACGGAAATGGAGGTCGCTGATTGGGTGAATTTCTCGCTATAGGTTTGAAGAGTTTACGTCGAAAACATTTCTTATAAAAGTAGGTCAAGGTGTGAACTGAGAAGTGATTTTTGATAACGCCCAGTTTTCAGCGGGAAAAGGTAAAACGAATGCATTATTAGATGAGTTATATTGAACATACATGTAGTTTAATTTGAACTGAATAGTATGGTTAGCGTTTCAAAATAAAACATGCTGCATACAGATTACACCAGACAAAGATAAAGGAAATAAGCAATCACAACAACAGCGAATTATAATTTTATTAATATTTTTGAAAGACGGAAAATCACTTCCTCATGACTATACTGTATATTATTACTACGATGGTACTGTGGCTGAGAGGTTAGCAGTCTCGTTTCTCAGCAAGATGGGACCGAATTCTCTTCCACCTCCAGACAGGGACCTTCTAAAAGAAATATGCATGTTCTCTACAGGTCTGAGTAGGTAGTAGGTTTACTCCAGGTGCTCCGGTTTCTCCAGCCACAAAAACATGTAAATTATCCCCCCCTTTCTCTAGGGCCTCCCGAAAAAAGAAAGGATCTCTCAGTGGGACTTTTTCTGGTTAAATAATACGTCAATACGATTCTATGTTGAAAAACGTGTAGAAATTACATTGTATGAACAGTCAAAGTAGAACAAAATGCGTAATTGTAGAATTTTTAGTATTTTTTGCCATGGAGATGCTGTTGCTTTGCCGAGTTGGTTCCTCAGTAAGTAGTAAGTAATGTTTATTAGTCACAAAGCGCTTTACCAGGTTGTGTATTTGTTTCTCACTCCACACAGAGATAGGTGCGAGGTCGCTGTACAGGAGTATAATAGGTCTGCAATTTTTACATGCTTTAAGTGGTAGGGACAACCGTAGCACCCGGAGGAAACCTACCCACTCAGCCACGGTGCCGTCCTCAGCGTTGTATGAAACTTGTACATTATTCATTTACAGGCGTTTTCATAAGGTCAGAACACGATTATGTCTTAGCCGCGAGAAGTCACGTGTTTATCTCCGATGCAGGTGGAACTTTTAATGAGGAACTTTCCAGACTTTTCTATAGACACGTCCAAGATGCAGTTTAAATATTAAACAATGATATAAATCTATTTTTCCTTTACGGTTTTCTCCAGTCTGTTGTTGATTCCCTTCAGCTGGAGTTCTGTCGTCTGGATGTGTTTGGCCTCGATGAGTAACGCTGGGAGACAGGACGCGCCGTACTGAAGACACAAAAACTGGTTCAATACGTAAAAAGACACAGGTGTAGCTTAGACCAGACGTGCAGAGACTTGTGGACCGTTTAAAAACAACGTAATGTGTTCTCAAATTGTTGTGAATTTCTCCATTGTGAGATCAATAAAACCTTATCAAGTATGATTAAAGATGAGAGTCCTGCAGTCAAACCAAAGCTCAATGAAGTTAGGACTTTTAAGTTTTTGTGTTGAGCTTATTTTTAGTCACAATGGAAATAAAAATTATTCAGATTCTGGAAACTTCTTGTCTCGGTTTACTCAAGTCATAACCTAATCCTAGTTGGCACTTCAAAAACCATGGGACCGGACCATGGTCCGGTCCCTGGTCCGATCCGGTCCCTGGTCCGGTCCGGTCCCTGGTCCGGTCCGCTCCCTGGTCCGGTCCGCTCCCTGGTCCGGTCCGCTCCCTGGTCCGGTCCGCTCCCTGGTCCGGTCCGCTCCCCGGTCCGGTCCGCTCCCTGGTCCGCTCCCTGGTCCGCTCCCTGGTCCGCTCCCTGGTCCGCTCCCTGGTCCGCTCCCTGGTCCGCTCCCTGGTCCGCTCCCTGGTCCGCTCCCTGGTCCGCTCCCTGGTCCGCTCCCTGGTCCGCTCCCTGGTCCGCTCCCTGGTCCGCTCCCTGGTCCGCTCCCTGGTCCGGTCTCTGGTCCGGTCTCTGGTCCGGTCTCTGGTCCGGTCTCTGGTCCGGTCTCTGGTCCGGTCTCTGGTCCGGTCCCTGGTCCGCTCCCTGGTCCGCTCTGGTCCGGTCCCTGGTCCGGTCCCTGGTCCGCTCCCTGGTCCGCTCCCTGGTCCGGTCCCTGGTCCGCTCCCTGGTCCGCTCCCTGGTCCGGTCCCTGGTCCGCTCCCTGGTCCGCTCCCTGGTCCGCTCTGGTCCACTCCCTGGTCCGCTCCCTGGTCCGCTCCCTGGTCCGCTCCCTGGTCCGGTCTCTGGTCCGGTCTCTGGTCCGGTCTCTGGTCCGGTCTCTGGTCCGGTCTCTGGTCCGGTCTCTGGTCCGGTCCCTGGTCCGCTCCCTGGTCCGCTCCCTGGTCCGCTCCCTGGTCCGGTCCCTGGTCCGCTCCCTGGTCCGGTCCCTGGTCCGCTCCCTGGTCCGCTCCCTGGTCCGGTCCCTGGTCCGCTCCCTGGTCCGCTCTGGTCCACTCCCTGGTCCGCTCCCTGGTCCGCTCCCTGGTCCGCTCCCTGGTCCGGTCTCTGGTCCGGTCTCTGGTCCGGTCTCTGGTCCGGTCTCTGGTCCGGTCTCTGGTCCGGTCTCTGGTCCGGTCCCTGGTCCGCTCCCTGGTCCGCTCTGGTCCGGTCCCTGGTCCGCTCCCTGGTCCGCTCCCTGGTCCGGTCCCTGGTCCGCTCCCTGGTCCGCTCCCTGGTCCGCTCTGGTCCACTCCCTGGTCCGGTCCCTGGTCCAGTCTCTGGTCCAGTCTCTGGTCCAGTCTCTGGTCCGCTCCCTGGTCCATACCGTTTCTCTATCCTCTGGGTTCTTCCGTCGGTGTTGCAGGTATCGCTGGTTGAGTTCACGGATGTTTTCGAGGAAAGTTTTGCTTTGATTCAAATCCTTTAGTTTTTGCTCCAGTTCCTCTTTGTCCTTTTCCGTCAGCGACACCCGACGATCGGACCTGAAACAGAAACACATTTGGTCCAAACGGTGGAGTAAATGTTGGATCTGAACCAAATCCCGGTCTAAACAGTTGTGTTTCGCTGCAGACTTCTTTCTGATTGACGGTGATCAGCCTGATTCCTGATTTAAGCTGTTTAAGTACTTTTCTCCCATCGCTGCGTTTTAGAGACTGCAGTAATTTATTCTCATCATAAATAAAATCATTAAGTTTGGTTTAATTAACTGTAAAAGGCTGTGAATAAAGAGGAATCATCGCCGTAGATTAAATGTGTCTATTGAACTAAAATAATTGAGACTTTCATTTTAAAGCTTAGACTCCCAGCAGATCTAATATTTACTATTTGGTGTGGCTCCTACTGAAATACATTTGAACAGCTCACAAATTAACCTGTTGTGTTTTGTGACGCCGCTAGCCAGACTTGGAAAAACAATTTCCAAGTCTGGCTAGCTTTATTTATACAGCGCTTTTTTGACGCTTCACATAATTATTCTTTCACTCCAAACACGGTGGTGATAAACTACTACAGAAGCCACAGCTGCCCTGGGGCACACTGACAGAAGCGAGGCCCCTCAGACCACTACCAACCATTCACACACACACCAGACTCATTCTAGGCAATGGGGGTGAAGTGTCTTGCCTAAGGACACAACAGCAGTTTGGCACTTTACAGCCGCAGCCGCCCCACTGTGGCATCTGCTGTTCCCAGAGGTTAAGTGTCTTGCCCAAGGACACAACGACAGCAGGAGTTGATGGAGAAAGTCTCAAAGGCCAACGCTCTACAACTGAGCTACTGTCGCCCTATAAAAATAACAACGTAATGCCATTTTTACAATTGGAAAAAATTGAATATTCTTTGAGAAAGATAGAAGAAATATTTTACTCAATTTGGCAACTTTTATTGATTATTATAATAAGTTTGGATAGACCTCCTCATACTTAATTTTATTTTGTATATTTTTGCACAATACTTTATGTGATATAGATTTTATACCCGCAAATGTTATGTATAAACTGCTGGAAAATAATTATTAAAATAACTGTAAAAAAAAAAAAAAAAAAGAGTAGTAGTAATGTAATGGTTCTGTATCGTTTTCTTACTTTACGAGTTCGTTCCTGGCGTCTAAAAGTCGTTGGCGTTTGGTCCGGATCGCAGAGGCCAACTGAAAACACACACATGGTTTCATTATGAAGCAAATATCGTCTACACAACAGGTCACGTCTCGAACCTTTGAATTCTCCGCCATCGCCGTCTTCAGCAGGAGACAGGAGGAAATCTGGGAAGAGAAGTGCAATCATATTCTTGACCACTGGAGGGCGCTGTTGACCCACGCGTTCATTGTGAGGCAAACCTTCTCTGTGAGCTGCTCCTCCACGTTTGACACAAAACAATCCAGCGCCTTCTTCACAACTTTGGACTCCACCGTCTCCCTGTGAAAATAAAGAGTAGGAGTAAGAGTCTATTTAAAACGTTATGCAAAAAAAAAACAATATAAACAATTTGCAGATTGAAGAAAAAAACAACATTTAATTTGTCCTAATTTTGTGATATTTAATTTATTATTCACATTACTACCTTCATTATAAATATATACTTACTCATTTTGTGCAGTAAGAACTTATAAAGTACATCTGCAACATGTTAGTGCCAAAAGAACTAACTCTGACTCTGAGGAGCACAGGGACTGGCCTCCTGCTGGGACTGAGGAGCACAGGGACTGGCCTCCTGCTGGGACTCTGAGGAGCACAGGGACTGGCCTCCTGCTGGGACTGAGGAGCACAGGGACTGGCCTCCTGCTGGTCCCTGAGTCAGGACTAAACATGAGGAGGCAGCATTTCAGATTTATGCAGCTAAAATCTGGAACAGTCTTCCTGAAAATGTGAGACAGGCTTCTTCTCTGACTATGTTTAAATCCAGGTTGAGAACATGTTACAGACCGAGGTACAGACCCAAAGCTCTTTCCAATATTCAGAGTCAGATATTGTTCCAATCCTTCCACACACGGTGATGACAGAAGCGAGTCCAGAACACACTGGACCATCAAAGCCTCCGACCAAACACCCTCCATTCATTCTCTCATTTACATTCAGACCTATTGTGCATGATTTTATTGGTAGGGGAAACCGGAGCAGACACGGGGAGAACATGCAAACTCCTCTCAGAAAGGCCCTGTTCCGACCGGGATTCGTACCCAGGACCTTCTTGCTGAGAAGCGAGAGTGCTAACTACTCAGCCACCGTGCCGCCCAATAATAATAATTTATTCTTAATAATAATATTTAACTGACTTGTATTGTTTGCAGAAGTCTAGAAACTCATCCAGCACCACCTCCGTCTCCGTGACGACCGATCGCTTCGACTTCTTCTTCTTCTTCTTGACGTTTTCAGGTTGGACTTCGCTGCTTTCTACAAAAAGCGGGGATCAGATTAGTTTAGTTTATGGTTTATAAAACAGGGACAATGTACAAAAACCATTAGTCTCAACAAAAGAAGAGATAACTGCACACTATTATAACTCAGACTACTTCCACATAAATCAGAAGATCTAATAAAGGTGGATTCAAACAGCTGTGATGAATGTGGATGTGCCAAAACAATAACGTACCTGAGGAGGACTCTCTGGATTTGTCAGAAACAGGTCTGCGTGTTTTTACACCAAGACGCTTCTGTTTCTTTGGACTTGGTTTCTGTAGATTTTTGAAAAGAAAAAGAAAACAAAAAACATTGAAAAGTGCAATTCAAATGGCTGGATGTGCAAAACGTTACACTAAAGTTTATACGTACAGTGGCTAACAAAAGTACTAATACAGATTTTACAGATTGTGCACATTTTGTCGGGTTTTTGATTTAAAAAACACAATTAAACATCCGTGGAAAGACGTGGCTACTTCTCTCCATCTATTCTGCCAGAGCTGGACTTGTAAAGAGGAATGGGCAAAACTCTCAGTCTCTAGATGTGCAAAGCATGTAGCGTCGTACCCAAACAGTTAGAGAGTTGTAAGAGTACTTTTACAAGGCACATACGTATAGTGTTTAGTTTGTTTTCAACGTGTATTTGGTATTTATGATTGCTTCGGCTGGAGGAGTGAAGCGTTTTCTATCATTCTAACCATAAACAGGAGAGATTACCCAGCTGTCCTCCAGCTCTTCCTCCGAGGTGAGTAAGAAGTCTCTGCGTCTGCGAGGGGAGGCGGCTCCTTCTGACGGCTGCAGAGGAAGTAAACACAGCTTCGGTCTCGGTCAAAACACAGACGACTGCGAGTGCTCATGGTCTGCGACACTTTTTTATTTTATTTTTGTATTAGAGCTTTTCCTCGCTGATGCAGGAGGGTCTAAGGACAGTGGTGATGATCCAGGAAACTCCACAATTACAGATTTTACACACATTTATGGATCAATGGCTCTATGTGTTGTCTATCAATGCATTTCTTGTGTTTTAACCGTTTAATTCTCTGATCTGTGTCTGCAAATTCAACGGTTTTATAAAGTCCTCCAAGAAAACTACTGTTGCTATTTAGGGCTTTTGCGCAATCATCATTTCCTGCATGTAACGTCTGGGTCTGGTCCCTGTGTCTGCGATTACAATCGGTTGAATTCCATCCGACCAATCAGAGAGCGCGGGAGGCGGGTGTTGTAGTTAGTTGTGGGTGACGTCAAGAGTTTGCGCCGAACGGGCAGGTTGTAGTTTGGCGAAAAATGCGATAGTAAAGTAATCCGGTCTGGTTCTATCAAGAAACTGAAGCCGGAGCAAGAGGAATGTTTCGCAAATGTAATCGCTGGAAAAGATTGTGGCGCTACTCCCCCCGGGCTCCGTTAGCAGCAAAGGAGATGGCTAAAGCTAGGCTAAATGCTAAATGCTAATGACTCACTCGGGCGCATTACATACATCACGGTAAACTCAGATCCAATCGTTTCAATCTGCAAAAGGAGTTAGCCCCTCCCACCTGTTAACAGAGTCAATGGCGCAAATCCAGACCTTAGTATGAAATGTCATTTGTACTGTGGTGTGGTAAGACCAGGCTAGACTTGGGCAGGTTTCACAGCAATTCTAGACCTTTTGTTTTCTTTCATTAAGTCTCACGTCTGACCACAGCAGCCCAGAGAGACCATGAGGACAAACACATACATTTGATTTTGTCCTACAGAGACCTATGTACTGTAGGACGAAACAAAAACATACTCCCCACAAACAAAGAATATACACAATTTAATACTTCATGCTTCTTCATTATGCTAAAGATAGAGTTTATACCTACATCTTATTACGCTAAAGTCGGAGGATTTGAGCATAATTCTTGCTTCTTTATGATGCTTAAGTTTGAGATAAAACTGCATTGATCCTACAATGGAGCAATGTATAGTATATAATAGTATAGAATAGTACTGTATAGTTATTGTTCATTGTTCATCTTGTGCTGTGGGCTCCTCAATCCTACTGTTCTGGGTTAGGGTTAACCGGTGATGCAACACTGACATTTCCCCTCTGTGGGACAAATAAAGCATCCCTTAATCTCAATCTTAAAACATTTTCTTTCGTCATTTCTGTCTGTGCCAATTTCACAGCAATTTTCTGCAAAAGCCAAGACATTTCCAAGAGGATTTTTTGCCGATTCAAAGCCAGATAATTATGTTGAGTCATAAACAACAATAGATATTTGTGGCTAAAGTTAAAGTGAGTGAAAAAACACTTTTGCCAACAATAATAAAACACATTTGAATGAATATGTGTCTAAGTGTTACCTGAGGTTGGGCGTCACTGGTTTGCTCAGTCTCTGGGGCAGGGCTTTTCTTCTCGCTCTGTACCTTCTGCTTTTTGACTGCCCTGTTTTGGGATCACAGTAAAAAAATAAATAAATAAATGTCTTTGGGTGACCATGGTCTGAAAAATGCGCTATATAAATAAACATGACTTACTGCATTAAATTAGTGCTGCTGCTGTTCACTATTTAAGCGATTTATTCTTAAAAACAAATGTCTGTTTAAACTCCTACAGATCAAAACACATATGTTCAATCATGATTATATTTAGACTGCTGAAGCTAAGCAGAGCAGGGCCTGGTTAGTAGTGTGATGGGAGACCTCTGGGAACACCAGGTGACACAGTGGGGCGGTTGCTGCATCTACAGATTGCCCCAGGGCAGCTGTGGCTATAGTATAATTATCACTAATGGGCTTATAGTATGGAGTGAATGAATAATGGCTCCTTGTGTGTTCAGATAAATGCTAAAAACCAAAATGCTATTGTTATTATTAAAATATATTATCATTTTAGTAGTCCACAAATCTGACAAATAAAGTTATAAGTAAGTTATTAATCCAAAGGAAAATATTGAATAAAAATATGATTCATTCTAATAAATGTATATGTTTTCTTTATATAGGACGACTCACCCTCAAATCCACTTTTTTGTGCTGATAAACAGTATAAATGAGTGTCTCATAGTGTTGTGTGCATATTCTGGTCATTATTTAGTCACTTTGGTGCAAATTTAAAATCTGGAACAGTCTTCCTGGAGATGTGAGACAGGCCTCCTCTCTGACAATGTTTAAAACCAGGTTAAAGACAGTTCTGTTTAGCTGTGCTACAACTGAGGGATTTTATATTTGTATCTTTCTTTTTAATGTTCTGTGATTATTTATGATTTTAATGCTTTCTTGTTTTGTTCAGCACTTTGAATTGCCTTGTGTATGAATTGTGCTATACAAATAAACTTGCCTTGCCTTGCCTTGCAAATTAATTGAAATATCAACTTTCTGCCAGTTTTTGCACATTACTTTGACCAGTAATTATAAATGATTTTGGGTTTGACTTTTCTTTGACACATTATTATCGACCTGTCTGAATCTGCGTCTCCTGAACTCTTCTTCTTCTTCCTTTTGGTGTCCGGTCTGGGCGGGTCAGCAGGTTTTTTGCGTTTTTGTGGAGAGGATTTAGGGCCATCGATCTTGTCCTTGTCCGTCTTCTCCCTGGTCGCCGCTTGTTTTTTCAGATTTTTCTGGCTCTGTTCTGGTTCTTCCGCTGCAGCCAAGTCTTCCTCCAAAGCTGTGCTGTGAAGAGGGGCACCTAGAAAACAGAACGCATTTTACAGACTTCAAACAATCCATTATGTTTATAGTTCACACCGTTTCTATCGGCAAAAAGTATTTATGATCCAATATGAATCAATACAAAAATTAGAATTAGTGTAAATCCTTGTGATACAATTTCAAAGTATTATTATATTTTTAATAACAAGACAATTCTCTATCTGTGGCTAGGCCCGTCACAAATGTGTAATTTACCAGTGTTTTGATTGAGTCCTTCAATGAAACTCTCTGTGGCCAAAGAGTGTTCTCCAGTCTCTGCCGAATCCACCTGCGAAGCTTTCTGGAAAATAAAAATAAAACAGTCAACTTATTTATTGTAATGTCTCGTTATGTATTTTTGATTCAAGTACATTTCTCTTATTGGTCACTATTCAAACCAATGAAATGTACCTTATTTGTTTCTTGTTGCTTTTGGGGAGTCTTTTTACCCTTTTTGGCGCTGGGGAAAAAAATACATCACATTAAAATAACTTATAATCATTATTAACTCTTTTTTTTTTTTTTTTGAGCAAGTAAGTGGGCATACAAATAATTAGTCATAATCAATCACAATCAATATTATGGTACATTTACAAACTATAACAAAAAAGTAAAGGTGCACTTTATTGATCCCCGTAGGGCAATTCATCCTCTGCATTTGACCCATCCTGATGCCACTAAGGCTTACAGTGGCATCAGTGGTCGCCATAGTAACAGCGCCCAGGAACCCATCTCCAGATGTTGATGCTCGGCTCGGTCAGGAGTCAGGACTACCGGAGCTGGAGGATGTAACCTAGTGCCTATACTAACATAACATATGGATGCTCGAAAAGGAGTGGGAAGAAGTATAACTTATTTAATCCCACCCCTAATCACTTCAGTCATTACAGTAAAGTAAAGGCTTCCTATTAGCTCCAATTTAAATTTAGCACAGACTGCAACATCTTAAAAATCTTGATCATAAATAAAAATAATATTAACTATTAATGTTGTACTGTGTTGATTTGCAGCTCATGTCCGATATTGTTTGGATATTATAATGTGTACTTTATTGTTTATTACTTTGACTTGTCTTTTACTCGTTGTTCTCGTATTACTATTATTATTATTAATCGTTATTTCAGACTCAAGATAATAATTGGTCCATATAAAAAAAGAGAAAAAAATAAATAAAAATTGTTTATATCAGTAGCAATAATTAATATATAATAAACAACAGTGAGCCAATAGTAGTTGTATCATATTAGATGTATTTTGGTACCGAGTTAGCAGAGGAAGTAACATTTATTTACAGTCGGTAACAACTCGAAGCAAGTAGCATTGGTACTAGCCCTTGTTTACTTATGCTACATGCTATGCTAACAAGCTATGCTAACAAGCTAAACGAGGAGACATTCACAAGTTTTATGTTTGTTAAATGTGAATGGCCCACATATACAGCTGTGATAACATCTCACCCCATGGTCAGTGTCTCTTCAAAGGTTTGGGATTTTGTTGTCAACAGAAATCAAACTTGCCGCAAATGTGTCTTCTTCGATCTGAGCAGAGGAGGAGAGTGGGGCGCGCTCTGCTGGACGATCTCGGTATTACAAAAAGACTCCAGGATTCATTTTTACAGAGAAAACAATTGTTATAACTGATTTTAACTGAATTATATCCCTTATTTCACACCATTAATACCACACCGCATCTAAAATGTATTCTAAGTGCACAGTCCCTCAATGCTTCTCAACAAATTGCCTCTTGACATGATTGAAAATGACCCCTTTCCAGATAGAAGACATACAATATAGCATTATGAATGAATTCTGGACTGCATTTATAAATCATTGTATATATACAAATAACATGCTTTCGACTGTTGGTTTTTTGTATACTACATTAATGACAAAATAGCCACAGCAACAAATGGTTTTCAAACATTTATTTAAAGATCTAGTAAAAGTATCAGTAGGAATGTGCAAGAATAAAATTCATACAGTTAAAGGTTATTACATTTTGGCAGTACTTTTATACTGGCACCGGGTGAAAAAAAAAATTTTGAACTATAGTATAAGGCACATTGGACCCAAAGAAAAACACTAACACGTTATATGCATATTTATAGTTACACAAAAAAATCATACCAACGAGTTTGAAGCTTAAAAAGTATTAAAAATTTAAAAAAAGAAAAGAAGGAGGCAATTTGACCTTATAAAAAGAGATTTGTTTTTTCAGGCCGGTTGTAGTTGAGACAGTTGAGTATGAAAGCATCAGGCAGAGCATTACTGATGTGTCATAATCAATAGTATCTTTATCAGAAGGAGACAAAATAAAATGGAGGACCGCAGTCTTTAAAGTTGGCAATTCAAAACCAAAGGTCATCTCTTTTGAATTGATACCACAAAATGACAGATTAGAATCAAAATCACAACAAACTCAAAATCAAAAATGATCTCTTCAGAAATGTGAAAGCATAAGATGTTTTTTTCCGTCCTTCCTTTACTGTGGACAAATAAGTCCATAGTACAGTGCCTTGCGAAATTATTCGGCCCCCTTGAACCTTTCAACATTTCGCCACATTTCAGGCTTCAAACATAAAGATATACAATTTTAATTTTTTGTCATGAATCAACAACAAGTGGGACACAATCGTGAAGTGGAATGAAATTTGTTGGATAATTTAAACTTTTTAACAAATAAAAAACTGAAAAGTGGGGCGTGCAATATTATTCGGCCCCTTTACTTTCAGTGCAGCAAACTCACTCCAGAAGTTCAGTGAGGATCTTTGAATGATCCAATGTTGTCCTAAATGACTGATGATGATAAATAGAATGCACCTGTGTGTAATCAAGTCTCCGTATAAATGCACCTGCTCTTTGATAGTCTCAGGGTTCTGTTTAAAGCGCAGAGAGAACCATGAAGACAAAGGAACACACCAGGCAGGTCCGAGATACTGTTGTGGAGAAGTTTAAAGCCGGATTTGGATACAAAAATATTTCCCAAGCTTTAAACATCTCAAGGAGCACTGTGCAAGCAATTATATTGAAATGGAAGGAGTATCAGACCACTGCAAATCTACCAAGACCCGGCCGTCCCTCCAAACTTTCATCTCAAACAAGGAGAAGACTGATCAGAGATGCAGCCAAGAGGCCCATGATCACTCTGGATGAACTGCAGAGCGATAAACTCTGCGCTTTAAACAGAACCCTGAGACTATCAAAGAGCAGGTGCATTTATACGGAGACTTGATTACACACAGGTGCATTCTATTTATCATCAGTCATTTAGGACAACATTGGATCATTCAAAGATCCTCACTAAACTTCTGGACTGAGTTTGCTGCACTGAAAGTAAAGGGGCCGAATAATATTGCACACCCCACTTTTCAGTTTTTTTTTTAAAGTTTAAATTATCCAATAAATTTCGTTCCACTTCACGATTGTGTCCCACTTGTTGTTGATTCATGACAAAAAATTAAAATTGTATATCTTTATGTTTGAAGACTGAAATGTGGCAAAAGGTTCAAGGGGGGCGAATACTTTCGCAAGGCACTGTATATAAAAGTACAAAAAAGTACATATTTAGTTTACTTCAATATAATGTAATCGCAACATTTATCATAATTTGTTTTGACAAAATTGTACAGGAGTTTTATTTTGAGAATCAATACACTAGGCTTAAAGTGTAACACACTGACGGGAAAATATCATTCTTGTGTCTCAGAATCTTTCGCTGTCGCCGTCTCCGAGTCTTTCTCCGTCTCCATCTCTTTCTCCGTCTCCATCTCCGAGTCATTCTCCGTCTCCGAGTCATTCTCCGTCTCTTTCTCCGTCTCTTTCTCCGTCTCTTTCTCCGTCTCTTTCTCCGTCTCTTTCTCCGTCTCTTTCTCCGTCTCTTTCTCCGTCTCTTTCTCCGTCTCTTTCTCCGTCTCTTTCTCCGTCTCTTTCTCCGTCTCTTTCTCCGTCTCCGGGTCTTCCTCTGTCTCCGGGTCTTCCTCTGTCTCGGGGTCTTCCTCTGTCTCGGGGTCTTTTCGTTTCTTCTGCTTCTTCTTGTGGCTCTGTCTGTGGTCCCACATTCTGGCCGAGTTGTAGAACATGCGCTCGCAGATCTCGCACACGTACACCTTGTGCTTGGAGTGCGTTTGTGCTTTGTGAGCCACCAGATTGGAGTTGAACCTATAGCTTTTCTCGCACTGGTCGCACTTGAACGCTCTTTCGTCCGAGTGAATGGCCTTGTGGTTCTTCAGACCCTGAGGCTGAGAGAAGCTCTTGTCGCAGTGGGGACATTTATACGCCTTTTTCTCCTCGTGGATTTTCATGTGGTAGTTCATAGCCGAGGCCGCTCTGAATTTCCGGCCGCAGACCTGGCAACTGTACGGCCACTCCCCTTTATGAATGAGTTTGTGTTCGTTGCAATAACTACGTCTACCAAAACTTTTCCCGCACTCGTCACAGGTGTAGGCTTTGATCCCATCGCGTATCACAAATTTTTTGTATTCCCTTTTTCTACCTTCTTTATGCTTCAGCTGATGTTGTTTAAGTATTTCGAGGGTTTCACACCACTCTTTACAGTCCCAACAGGTGCAGCCCTGAAAAACAAAGAGATAAAAAAAAGTTGGGATAGGTACAGATTCTAATGGAGAGAATAAGATGAGAAAAACCTTCATTCGTCCCTCAGTGGGGATTTGTGATGTCACAGTTGTGCACATTACAGAAGAGAAGGAGAAAGAAGAGCACTCAGGTCAATTCAAACACTAACAATGGGCAGCACCGGTGGAGGGCAGGTCTCACTAAGAGGGAGCTCAGACTACAAAATTGGGTCATGATCATGAGGTTCAACAAATATGCTGCATACACAGAACCCCACACTGCACCCACATGACCAACATGCACCCACACTGCACCCACATGACCAACATGCACCCACACTGCACCCACATGACCAACATGCACCCACACTGCACCCACATGACCAACATGCACCCACATGACCAACATGCACCCACATGACCAACATGCACCCACACTGCACCCACATGACCAACATGCACCCACACTGCACCCACATGACCAACATGCACCTACACGCACTTACACAGCACCCACACTAACACACACGCACCCATAGCACCCACACAGCACCCACACACTTTGACTCTAATTTAGCATCTACCAATCTCAGTTTGTTTTTAGTGTAAGTTTCACCTTTGTCTAATTGTGTACGTTTGTCTGTTATTATTATTGTTATATATTTGTATACTTGTTTGTTGTTCTTGTTGAATGTCGATATGTCTGTCTGTTTTGTTGACTTAAATAAAGGGAGAAAAAAAAACACACATAAAACAGGATCTACTTTTTAAGATAATATAATAATAAACTCAGGAGCTATAATTGCTCTTGGGTCAGGGATAAGGAGGAGAACACACTGTAGTCAGCAGCATCCGGAGGTTCCCCGTTGTATAAACTGCAGTGAAAGGATCTGCACGAGGAGTTTAACTTACAAAACAAATTCAGTTTTGACTTTCTAGGTAAAAGGCAAATGGTGAAGATCTTAGAAAATCAAAAAAAAATCTAAGGCACTCGTGGTCAATAGTTCAGAAAGTTTAAAAAGCCTTTATTTTCTCATGGCTGTAGATTAAAATACGCACCAACGCGTTTCAGCCGCGGCCATCCTGAAACCACGGTAAAGTGGGCCGCAGCTTTCACTTTCGAAGTAAAGTGGGCCGCATCGAGAGAAAAACAGTGCGCGTTTTGTTGACTACTTACGGTAACAGCGGAGCAGCCTTTCGGAGTCACCTTTTCTCCTCGAACAGAAAGCGCGCTGAGGAGACTCGTTTTTGTGAATAAACCCATATTTGGAAAGCATTTAATTTGGTCAAAAAGTGAAATTTTCAGCAGCTGTCCATTTTTACAGTAAAGACTTGTGTGGCTTATTCCACTGGGTTCATGACCTCGATAAAGCTGCTTTCAACGCTGTGCCTACGACCACACACCTTTACTGTGGAAATGTGTGGAAAGTACACTTTAGTGCAAAATACACAAAACTGTAAAAACATTCCCGCTTTTGATCTACTGTAACTATTTACTGTAAAAAGGTGTGTGACTCATTTCAATGGATTCATGTCCTCATTATTATGTTCTACCACTGTGCCAAAGACCAGAAACTTTTACTGTGGACATTTGGAGAAATATGGAGTTAAAGTAGCTATTTTGGTCCAAAGTATCCAAAAAAAATTGTCAAAACATGTCATTTTTGATCTACTGTAACTTTTTACTGTAAAAAGGTGTGCGACTAATTTCACTGGATTCATGACCTCATGATTGCCCTCTACCACTGTACCAAATATATTAAACTTTTTACAGTAAAAAGTTACAGTAGATCAGAAGTGACATGTTTTGAATATTTTTTAGGTATTTTGGACCAAAATGGCTACTTTAAATCAATATTTCTACAGTAAAAGTGTCTTGTCTTTGGTACAGTGGTAGAGGGCAATCATGAGGCCATGAGTCAAGTGAAATTAGTCGCACACCTTATTCCAGTAAATAGTTACAATACTTGAAAATTGAATCAGAATCAGAATCATTTTTATTGCCAACGTAAGTAACGGGAGGTCACAGACTTGGAAATTGCTTTGGCTCAGTGCAACAGTCAAAAAGAGATAATAAAAATAAGAATAAAAAACACTTCTAAAGAATAAATTTAAATTTAAAATAGAGTTACAGTTACTATTTACAATGTACAAGTGCACATGGTGCACACAATGTAAGGTGACAGCAGTACAGTGAAGTAAAGTGACGTATGATGGGCAGTAAAGTGACTTTATAAAGGGCGGGGGGACAGGTTAAGAAGTGTTCAAGAGTCCAACAGCAGAGGGGAAGAAACTGTTCTTGTGGCGGGAGGTTCTAGTCCTGATGGACCGCAGCCTCCTGCCTGAGGGGAGTGGTTGGAATAGTCCATGTGCAGGGTGAGAGGGGTCGGCTGTGATACGACCAGCCCGGCCTCGAGCTCGGGCGACGTACAGGTCCTGCAGCGATGGAAGGCTGCGGCCGATCACTTCCTCTGCAGAGCGCACAATGCGCTGTAGTCTCTGTTTGTCCCTGACTGTGGCTCCAGCGAACCACACGGTGATGGAGGAGGTGAGGATGGACTCGATGATGGCCGTGTAGAACTGCACCAACATCTGTGCAGGCAGCTTGGCTTTCCTGAGCTGCCGCAGGAAGTACATCCTCTGCTGGGCCTTCTTGATGAGGGAGCTGATGGTCGGCTCCCACTTGAGGTCCTGGGCGATGGTGGTGCCCAGGAAACGGAAGGACTCCACAGAGGTGATGGGGGAGTCCATCACGGAGGGTGGGGGCGGGGGGACAGTGCTCTTCCTGAAGTCCACAATCATCTCCACTGTCTTCTGGGCGTTCAGCTCCAGGTTGTTACCACTGCACCAGGACACCAGCCGGTCCACCTCCCTCCTGTAGGCGGACTCATCGTTGTTGGAGATGAGTCCAATGAGGGTGGTGTCGTCCGCGAACTTGATCAGCTTCACGGAGTCGTGGCTGGAGGTGCAGTGGTTGGTGTACAGGGAGAAGAGCAGGGGAGAAAGAACACAGCCCTGTGGGGCTCCTGTATTTATAATCCGAGAGTCCGAGACATTCTTCCCCAGACGCACTCGCTGCTTCCTGTCCGTCAGGAAGTCAGTGATCCACCTGCAGGGTGGAATCGGGCACGTTGAGCTGGGAGAGCTTGTCCTGGAGCAGGGATGGCAGGATTGTGTTGAAGGCAGAGCTGAAGTCCACGAACAGGACCCTGGCGTAGGTCCCCGGGGAGTCCAGGTGCTGTAGGATGTGGTGGAGGGCCAGGTTAATGGCGTCGTCTACAGATCTGTTGGCTCTGTAGGCAAACTGCAGGGGGTCCAGGAGGGGGGAGGTGAGGGACTTGAGATGGGAGAGAACCAGGCGTTCAAATGACTTCATGACGACAGACGTAAGTGCTACAGGTCTGTAGTCATTGAGTCCTGTGATCCTGGGCTTCTTCGGGACGGGGACAATGATGGAGGATTTGAAGCAGGCCGGGACATGGCAGGACTGCAGAGAGGAGTTGAAAATGTCCGTGAACACAGGAGTAAGCTCACTGGCGCAGTGTCTCAGAGTGGCCGGAGACACGTGGTCCGGGCCAGGAGCTTTGCGGGGGTGCAGCCTCAGGAAGAGTTGTTTCATCTCTTTAGCGGCTATTGTTAGGCTGGGGGCAGGGCTGATGGGTGGGTCGTTAGAGTAGGGGGGGGTGGGGGAGGGAGAGGTGTCAGGGGCAGCATCAAAGCGACTGAAAAATAAGTTCAGATCGTCAGCTAGCTTGTGGTCATCAGCACAGGGGGGGGCTTTGGGTTTGTAGTTGGTGATCTCCCGTAGGCCCCTCCAGACAGAAGCAGTATCGTTGTTACCAAACTGCTCCTGTAGTCGTTCTCTGTGCCGGGACTTGGCTGCTTTCAGTTCTTTCCTGAACTGATATTTAGCTGCTTTGTAGCCGCTGCGGTCCCCCTCCCTGAAAGCAGACTCCTTTGCTTTCCTGAGCTGCCGGAGTTTAGCAGTGAACCAGGGTTTGTCGTTGTTATAGATGACCCTGGTCCTTGTTGGAATGATGCTATCCTCACAGAAGTGAATGTATGACGTCACAGTGTCCGTATATTCATCCAAGCTGTCTGTGGCAGCTCTGAAAAGGTCCCAGTCTGTAGATTCCATGCATGCGCGCAGCTCTTCCACAGCTTCATCAGACCACACTTTGGAGCTCCTCACTGCAGGTTTCGAGAGCTTTAGTCTCTGTCTGTAAGCAGATTGCACTAGCGGACCAAATTGTGTACTTTATATATGTAAACAATAGAGTGGCTATCCTCCTGAGGACTCACAAGCTGCAGGAGGAATCGTAGGGGGCTGGTGCTATGTGTGCCGGGTGGCATCTCTATAATGTTTTAATCACAAAAACGTGTCTCCCAGACCCCAGCGCGCTTTCTGTTCGATAAAAATTGGTGACTCCGAAATGATGTTCCGCTGTTACCGTAAGTTCTCAACGAAACGCGCACCGTATTTTCCCCGATGCGGGCCGCTTGTTCATAGAGCTGAAAGATGCGGGCCACTTTACCGTGGTCATCCTGAAGCAGGCCAAACTGGGCTGAAACGCGTCTCTGGATAGAGAAAGTCAAAACTCATTTTTGTTATCTTGTTAGTTTTATGTTAAAGAAGCTATACCCGATTTTTTTCTAAGTAGTTCATAAAAATGCTTTTTACTACATACAAGTTGTATCATAATACATCATTTAATTGAAAACTTGAGGTCATTGATTCAGCTGTGTAAGAATTACAAGCAGTGAAAAGTTCTGAGTAGAGTCTGAGCGGGACGTTCTCCTCCACTCACAGAACAAGAAGCGAGCAGCCTGTGTCCTCTAGTCTCTACAGCCTGCGTCCTCTAGTCTCTACAGCCTGCGTCCTCTAGTCTCTACAGCCTGTGTCCTCTAGCCTCTACAGCCTGTGTCCTCTAGCCTCTACAGCCTGTGTCCTCTAGTCTCTACAGCCTGTGTCCTCTAGCCTCTACAGCCTGTGTCCTCTAGTCTCTACAGCCTGTGTCCTCTAGTCTCTACAGCCTGTGTCCTCTAGTCTCTACAGCCTGTGTCCTCTAGTCTCTACAGCCTGTGTCCTCTAGCCTCTACAGCCTGTGTCCTCTAGCCTCTACAGCCTGTGTCCTCTAGCCTCTACAGCCTGCGTCCTCTAGTCTCTACAGCCTGTGTCCTCTAGCCTCTACAGCCTGTGTCCTCTAGCCTCTACAGCCTGTGTCCTCTAGTCTCTACAGCCTGCGTCCTCTAGTCTCTACAGCCTGCGTCCTCTAGTCTCTACAGCCTGCGTCCTCTAGTCTCTACAGCCTGTGTCCTCTACAGCCTGTGTCCTCTAGCCTCTACAGCCTGTGTCCTCTAGTCTCTACAGCCTGTGTCCTCTAGCCTCTACAGCCTGTGTCCTCTAGTCTCTACAGCCTGTGTCCTCTAGTCTCTACAGCCTGTGTCCTCTAGTCTCTACAGCCTGTGTCCTCTAGCCTCTACAGCCTGTGTCCTCTAGTCTCTACAGCCTGTGTCCTCTAGCCTCTACAGCCTGTGTCCTCTAGCCTCTACAGCCTGTGTCCTCTAGCCTCTACAGCCTGTGTCCTCTAGCCTCTACAGCCTGCGTCCTCTAGCCTCTACAGCCTGTGTCCTCTAGCCTCTACAGCCTGTGTCCTCTAGTCTCTACAGCCTGTGTCCTCTAGTCTCTACAGCCTGTGTCCTCTAGCCTCTACAGCCTGTGTCCTCTAGTCTCTACAGCCTGTGTCCTCTAGTCTCTACAGCCTGCGTCCTCTAGTCTCTACAGCCTGTGTCCTCTAGCCTCTACAGCCTGTGTCCTCTAGTCTCTACAGCCTGCGTCCTCTAGTCTCTACAGCCTGTGTCCTCTAGTCTCTACAGCCTGCGTCCTCTAGTCTCTACAGCCTGCGTCCTCTAGCCTCTACAGCCTGTGTCCTCTAGCCTCTACAGCCTGTGTCCTCTAGTCTCTACAGCCTGTGTCCTCTAGTCTCTACAGCCTGTGTCCTCTAGCCTCTACAGCCTGTGTCCTCTAGTCTCTACAGCCTGTGTCCTCTAGCCTCTACAGCCTGTGTCCTCTAGCCTCTACAGCCTGTGTCCTCTAGTCTCTACAGCCTGTGTCCTCTAGCCTCTACAGCCTGTGTCCTCTAGTCTCTACAGCCTGTGTCCTCTAGTCTCTACAGCCTGTGTCCTCTAGTCTCTACAGCCTGCGTCCTCTAGTCTCTACAGCCTGTGTCCTCTAGTCTCTACAGCAATACAAAATATATACATATTTGAACAAATATTAGACAACCCTTATAATTAGAAATGTATTTAATGACTGCAAATAAAATAGTTAAGGTTTCACCGGGACGTGCTAGGCAGGTAACAGCTAAGCTAGCTAGCTGTTTCATGGTAACTTCCGGGTTTTTCGCGATCGCTTTTTGTCACTTTAAAACAGTATTTTTGTCATGAAAACGTTGACAGCAAATTCTGAAATCGTCCGTGCATGTGTGTTAAGGATGTATCTGTATACTGTATTGTCCGATTAACGTTTAATGGTGTTGATTGATTTATATGTATTTGTTTATTGAGCGTGGCTAGCTCCGCTAGCTTCTCTACACAGACAAGTGTGCAGAGAAACTGCACAGTGTAGTGACAGGCGCTGATAGCTTGTTGTACTTGCAGAGTAATGGCAGTATTTTACACACCTGAATTACAAACAGAGGTTGCATTGGGGCTGCGGTCATTATTGGTTTGAGAGTTCTGTTATCAGGAAAAAATGATCGGAAGAATTGCATTCAAGTCAATGGAGTGTTCTACTGCTGTGAGGAGCTGTATAATAAATTATAATTAAATATTAGAATATATTCTAATGTTTAAATCCGGACGCGAAACTAATGGCATTGCTTTAGTACCATTTCATCAGTGATTGTTGCACAGCTTACAAGTTCCACTAATGCTAATGTTTGCATACGTATCAGATCGCAAATAAAACTATGTGTCTCCGTGTTATGAGAGCGTAGGGGAAATGAGAAGCCTGTGAGCGAGTTGGGGGCGGTGCTAAACATTCAAACATTGCAGAAACGGGTATAGCGCCTTTAAGTCAATTTTATGCAGTTTTCACTCACGAGGAAGATGATGTACGGAATCTGCGGCGCGGCGTCCATCCTGCTCCTCTGCGGCACGTGCTCCTCTGCGGCACGTTCACCCTCGCGCCCCTCATTTGCGCGTCTTTGGCTCCGCCCCCTTTGCGCCCCTGACCCACACTTTGCCGTAGCCTTTGTTATCCGCGTCTATCTTTACAAAAGTAGGCGGCGATCCAGTGTTCCCCCGGAAGGGTGGAGGGATGGGTGTTAATGATTGCACACGCGGATAACGTTTTATGACAGCTTCGGCAACGGACCAGATTATAAAAGGTTCCCAAATAGTATTAACAGATTTATGAGGGAGAATAGTGAAGGTTTTTACCATTCCATAAAACAGGTACAGAGTCATCTTTCTGTAACATGTGTACAACATTGTGTATTTTTTCTATGCCACATGTTAAAAGGCTGGTGCTATGAGACTTGGGTGGCATCTCTGACTGCCACCCCCCTGACCCAGAAATGGATTAAAGGGTAGAAAATGGATGGATGGATGGATGTTAAAAGGCTCAAGTTATCAAGAGTTTATCCGTGTGTATGATTCTAACTGGGCTTGTAACGATTCCTTGGTATGTCATTTTGTTAATGCTATACAACCTGTGGGCATATGTAGTGAAACTGATTTCGACTGTGTACAATGTGTAGTGCATAATAAAAATCATTGAGAAAAAAATATTTAAGTATAATCTTTTATTTTCCATGCAGAATGATAAACACACATTCATAATAAGTGATACATTACATTTTGTCATACAGAATGATAAACACACGTGAAAACATTTCATAACAATCATGTAGATTTAAAAACTTAACCAACTTGCTCCACTCTTGGTGACTAAAGGAGTGATGAATTTAGGTGACAGTAATCTTTTACGTTTAGCACTAACTAACGGCGTCGCATAAACATTAGAAGGAGGGATATTTTTAAACTCATTAATAGTTCTACGAACCATAGTGTTAGGAATGACAGATTGGGGAATATTCATTTCGGCTAGTGTTTTTAAAAATAAAAGACCATCCGATAGGTCTTGAAATTTGGAATGAGGATTTAGAAACAAATATTGTAAAAGAGGATTGGGAATCAGCATGTTCAAAAACACTTATTAGTGCAACAGTCTCCTACAATCCAAGTGGGTCATGAGAACGACTGAGACATCAGAAAAATGGAATAGTTATAATGGAAATGTAACTGATGTATGTACTAGGTGTTAAAAGATTAAATGTACTGATGTATGTACTAAGTGTTAAAAGAGTAAATGTACTGATGTATGTACTAAGTGTTAAAAGAGTAAATGTACTGATGTATGTACTAAGTGTTAAAAGAGTAAATGTACTGATGTATGTACTAAGTGTTAAAAGAGTAAATGTACTGATGTATGTACTAGGTGTTAAAAGAGTAAATGTACTGATGTATGTACTAAGTGTTAAAAGAGTAAATGTACTGATGTATGTACTATGTGTTAAAGGGTCATTGCTCCACTGTGTGTGGGGTGTCCTGAGGTTAAAGGAGCAGTAGAGACCACTATATCTAAGGATATACACTTTTTTATTTAGGAAACATGCGTTTACAAAGAATGAAAAAAGTACTGATAGATATGTGTCTTTTACAAGCAAAGAGAACAATTGCAATTTAGTGGAAAAAAAAAAGTTCAAGCTGATGCTTTGGGTAAAATAAAAATGCTGATAGCATTTCCCCCTTGAAAGAGTTACATGTTTTAGAAAAGGAAAGTTAGCAATATTTGAAACAAATGTGGGATCATACAAAGACATTGTAGAAAATCTAAATGTAACAAATGACGCAGAGGACTATTTATAAATGACTGTGATCCTATATCTCCATGATATGTTATTCAATATAGTGTTCATATCTGTGTCACTGTGGTAAAGTGTCACTTCATATCTGTGGAGGTGTTATTTTATTGTATCAGTTATTTTATATATTTTTCGTATGTGGGTGTTTGTTGTACCTTTTGTCTTCTATTTTCATTTTTGTATAATACAAATTCTGTTTATCAAGGTGTTGTCTAACACCAAATGCTGTCTTACTATTCTGATTATATTATATTCATACAGTAAAACGGTAAACACATCGTTTTAGAAATCTGGATAACCAGAAGAAACAGTTTTACAGTGATACACTAAATGAGAACGAGCTACTTGAAGAATTTTTAATAATGTCATGAGGAACAACAAAAATCACACATGAGTACACAAATTATTTTGTCAAAGGCAGAAATATCAAATAAAATGAATATATCAAATGAATTTTGTAGATACTTTACTCGTGCAGGAGACTCGAAAGAAAAGAAATTTTCCAAAGCCTACATCTTACAGTGAAATACAAAGGTAGATCCTGTGAACAGTATTTTTCTTTCCAATATGTAAAAAAAGACAAAGTATGAAAAATTGTGAATACATTTGTAAACAACCGACTCTGGCTCAGACATGATGCATCTGTAATTGAACCTTTTTACATACCTTTGCAACTTGTCACTAAAAACAGGAACCTTTTCCTGAAAAAAAAAAAAAATGGAAACAACCAAATTATACCTCTTTACAGAAACAAACACAACTTCTCAAATTCTAGACCCTTGTCTTTGTTACCACAGTTTTCAAAAATCTTGAAAAAAAAGTATTTGCAATGTGAGTGGATAGCTTTTTACAAAAGTAAATGTGTTAATTCAAAATGAGTATGGCTTTAGGAAAAAACACTCAACTGCTGTGGGAATAATGGAACTGACAGAGAAAATATGCAAATACATATGTTGTAAGTATCTTACTAGACCTGCAAAAGGCTTGCTCATACATGGATCTCTAGTTATCTAGAAAATCTTAAACAGTTTGTGCAGATAAATTGTAAAAAATAATAAATTACTCAATACCTATATTGTTTGTATGAATGACTTTCCAAAAGTATCAACTATTGTGCTGTCCTCACGATACGTGACCATGTGAAGCTGGAGCAAACGGGAAAGAAACTCTGTAGACAAGGCTTACTTTTCTTGTTTCATAGATAATCTCTTGCGTATGGTTCATTGCATCCCTAAATACAAAATATAAAATCACCGTAACTGCAACACTAGAAAAACTATCAACGGTTGTGCACACGGAATTGCGTACAGCGCTTGTTACTCAGATATAGCCCAAACTTAACACTTTGCAGTAGAATAAAACACTTTTATGGTGCCTAACAATGTGCTTGTGACATTAAATAATACTTACAAAGATGAAAGTTTGCCACGGGTCAACACATGAAACAAAGATTGTTACAAAGACAAACCAAACAAGAGCGCTTACTCTGCTCGACCAGGAAACTGATGTTTTACTTTGTTTCCCCTTATATTTTAGCACAACAAACAACTATAGCTTATTATCACACTGGGCTGCGGGGCCCAAACACGCTGGTCCCTTCTCTGTTAAAGGACTTTTATCAGAGTGTCTCGGATTTCACCCCGTCTTCATTTCCCATGGAAAAAGGGAATCTTTGTTTTTAAATGTAACTTATTACATAGCATTTAAGAACGTGTTGCATTTTTTAAACTTATAAATGATTGAATTATGTCTTTAAACTTGTAAACATGACACCTATATTACAAATAATCTTATTTGCTGGTGCCACAGCATTATTTTGTTGTGGAAAAAATGTTGGAGAGTTATCAAAAAGTAATAAACAAAGAACTTGTCATAATAAAAATCTGGTTGGTTCAAATGACTTTGCTCTAAACAAAGAAAAAACGAATACATACTATTCAATGCTATAAAGAAAAAAATCTTAAATAGTGTATCGATAAGACTAGACGGGGGAAATTCAAAAGGGTAAAAAGAAACAACATTTTTAGGAGTCATCATCGTTGAGAATCTGAGTTGTAAATCTCACAGACACTGTACAAAAGGAAAAATAGCCAAATCACTTGGTGTTTTACACTTTCCAAACCACTCAGCATTACTAACCTGAGATAATACAATGATTATACCGACCTCACCTATGTTGTCAACATTTGGAGACAACGTTTAAAACACATACACTGCCTATAGTTATTTTACATAAAAAGAGCAAAAGGAAAATATATCGAGATTCATCAAATCCTGTTTTTGAGTGCTTGGTGTTAAAATTGTATGTTATAGTGGATTATACTATTTATCATACATTGTATAAGGTAAATTGGAACACATTAGCAGAAAACATCTACGAAAACACCGCTCAGCATTACTGACCTTAGATACTACAATGATTATACCGACCTCACCTATGTTGTCAACATTTGGAGACAACGTTTAACACAGCCTATAGTTAAAAAAGACCAGAAGGAAAATATATCGAGATTCATTAAATCCTGTTTTTGAGTGCTTGGTGTTAAAATTGTATGTTATAGTGGATTATACTATTTATCCTACATTGTATAAGGTAAATTGCAAAACATTAGCAGAAAACATCTACGAGAACTTTGGAAAAAAAGACAAAGTCGATACAATCTGTAAGGAACTCCCATCTTTAATAAAAAAACTATATTCAGAACTAAATTCATGGGGAGAATGGTCTCAGTGAAAGGAATCAACTTAACTAAGACATTAAAGAGTCAAAATAAAAAAATCATGGTTTTTTAAGAAACAACAAAACTACTATACTCAATAAATATGAGAGTGTTACATAATAAGAAAATCTGGATTTTAATTAATGGTTTGTGTTTTGGTAAAATGTTGTACATAATGTTTAATTAATGGTTTGTGTTTTGGTAAAATGTTGTACATAATGTTTAATTACTGGTTTGTGTTTTGGTAAAATGTTGTACATAATGTTTAAGGTATGTAATACCTGTGTTTAATCAGTCTTTAAGATGACTATTTATGGTAACAAGTGTCAATTGTATATCTGAGAGATGTACGCCTTTAAATCATTTGATCTCCAGTAAAAAGAAAACCTGTACCAAGGACCCTAGTTTCACATCTACCTACTCTGTTTCAAACTGTGTACATATATGTATCTAGGGTTCTTATTTTATTGTATTGGACAATTAAATTGATAT